GTTCACTGTTATCCTGTACGTAATTGCCCTCAGACTTGTCGGAGTCACTTTGGTTGTATATCCCAGATTCTTCTTAATTTTATCTTATGTAGGTGATGCTGCATGCAGTGTTACCAAGATAGTGGATGTTTACTGTAGGCATCTGAGGCAATTTATGGGTGCCATGTGGGAGTTTTAAAGTGTACTCAGTATCTAAACTTACCTCGGGATGTGATACGCACCATCATTCAAACATCTGATGTGCAGTGCTAAGGTTAAAATCCACCTCATTTACCAGGGGAAAATACATTAAAGACTTTATAGAAGAAATTTTATTTTATTCTACAGGTTTTTGTAAGCAGCATACAGATAAACATGGTAATGAAGCTCTACATCTTCATATCATTTATTTTTATAAATCCTCCACATTTCAAAATATACAAATGTTGTAAATTTGAAAAGTACCTGAATATGTTCAGATTTATCCAATGGTATATTTTGGTAGCAGTCTTTCCTGTAGACATATATTATTAAATATGACCGAAAAAGTAAGATTAATAATTCCAACACGAATTTTCTCGATCTTTCGTACGTTTCTTTTCACTGTTGGTGGTAATTCAAAAATCAATTCTCCAAAATTCATTTTTATTTCTAGTCTGACGCGACACTTGAGCGCGTTTCGTAAAACTTATTACATTTTCAAAGACTTTAGTTTACGCATACACAACTGAATAGAACTTACACATCTTCGATTTGTTTATATCTACATTTGAGTGAGGTGGATGGGGTGAGGTGGTATTAATAGGGTATTAAATTCCTAAACACAAGACAGAACACGAAACAATGGGTATTGAATGGAAGTGATTGTAGAAAGCCTATTGGTCCATATTTCTTGATGCTTCTATATTGGAACGGAGTCTTGAGGTGGGTAGAATATAGTTGTGCATTAATTGGCTGTTGATTGCTGGTGTTGACTTCTTGATGTGTAGTGCCTCGCAAACGTCAAGCCACCTGCTATCGCTGTATCTATCGATGATTTCTGTGTTGTTTACTAGGATTTCTCTGGCGATGGTTTGGTTGTGGGAAGAGATTATATGTTCCTTAATGGAGCCCTGTTGCTTATGCATCGTTAAATGCCTAGAAAGAAATGTTGTTGTCTTGCCTATATACTGGTTTTTTTGGAGCTTACAGTCCCCAAGAGGGCATTTGAAGGCATAGACGACGTTGGTCTCTTTTAAAGCGTTCTGCTTTGTGTCTGGAGAGATGAGAAACTCTCCAGACACAAAGCAGAACGCTTTAAAAGAGACCAACGTTGTTTATGCCTTCAAATGCCCTCTTGGGGACTGTAAGCTCCAAAAAAAACAGTATATAGGCAAGACAACAAACATCTCTTTCTAGGCGTTTAACGATGCATAAGCAACAGGGCTCCATTAAAGAACATATAATCTCTTCCCACAACCAAACCATCGCCAGAGAAATCCTAGTAAACAACACAGAAATCATCGATAGATACAGCGATAGCAGGCGGCTTGACGTTTGCGAGGCACTACACATCAAGAAGTCAACTCCAGCAATCAACAGCCAATTAATGCACAACTATATTCTACCCACCTCAAGACTCCGTTCCAATATAGAAGCATCAAGAAATATGGACCAATAGGCTTTCTACAATCACTTCCATTCAATACCCATTGTTTCATGTTCTGTCTTGTGTTTAGGAATTTAATACCCTATTAATACCACCTCACCCCATCCACCTCACTCAAATGTAGATATAAACAAATCGAAGATGTGTAAGTTCTATTCAGTTGTGTATGTGTAAACTAAAGTCTTTGAAAAATGTAATAAGTTTTACGAAACTCGCTCAAGTGTCGCGTCAGACTAGAAATAAAAATGAATTCTGGAGAATTGATTTTTGAATTACCACCAACAGTGAAAAGAAACGTACGAAAGATCGAGAAAATTCGTGTTAGAATTATTAATCTTAATTTTTCGGTCATATTTAATAATATATTTATCCAATGCTGTACTTGTTTTTTTTTTCCTTTCTCCTTGCTATTAATAGACAGGCAACTTTAGACATTAAAAATATGTCTAAAATTGTATTTAGTATTTTATTTAATTTGACCACATTGTTGGCACTGTTGATCTTGTAGTGGAAGCTTTCTATGCTTCTATTTTCTTATTGTCAGTATTGACAATCAAGTTACCAAAATTCATGGTATAGAAACTAGTAATTATTGAAGGATGTATTTTTTTACAATGTTTCAATCCAATCTGGGACATCTTCAGGCAAAGAATGAATACATGATGTACAATTTTTGGTTAGTGTGGGGCAAGGTGATGGAGCAAGACACTCGTTAGTGGGGAGACCTCAGTAGAGATAGTCATTTTTTGGTGATGTTTGGCGAGATCTATGAGTGTAGGCAAGGAAGTAAAATTGTTATTCTGTACATTTAAGGCGAGTTGTTATTTTAAGTATAGCTTCGAAGATTTGCAATCTTCTTTGGTCAGTGGTAGACTCCAGAATCTTTGTATTATCTACTAGCATGTTCCTAGTGAGCATTATGTTCACTTTGCATATGGTGTCTGGGGGCACCAGCTTGTAGACGGCAGGTCAGTCTTCTCGAGAGCTTTATGGCGGTCATAACAATATAGGGGGATCGAAGGCGACATCCTTTATTGGGGCACGTAAACTGATATACCACGTTTGCTTTTTGGAGAAGGTTGTATTGTTTGCCGATTTAATACTCGAAGAAAGCCCCAAGTGTGTTTTGTTTTGTGGTAAATATGGAAGTCCATTTTTTTTTATCTTGGGCTGTTGGTTTTACTGCATTTGAAATTGTTATTTTTCTTCTGTTTTTACTGTTAGCTCATAGTGGATCTGTAATGGTTTCATGGGATATGTTGCTTGCTGTTGCAGTTGTTTTCTGTTGTACCATTTTTCTAAATATGTTCTGATATGGGCATTGACTTCTCTATTCATGCATTTGTTGTTTATTAATGCTTAAAGGCTTCTGTCCAATTTTTTATGCATGTTATGCCAGTATATACGAGTATCACGCATAGGACAAATGTGATAAATTCGTACATACTGACATAACATGCATAAAAAATTGGACAGAAGCCTTTAAGCATTAATAAACAACAAAGACATGAATAGAGAAGTCAATGCCCATATCAGAACATATTTAGAAAAATGGTACAACAGAAAACAACTGGAACAGCAAGCAACATATCCCATGAAACCATTACAGATCCACTATGAGCTAACAGAGAAAAATAAAAATTTCAAATGCAGTAAAACCAACAGCCCAAGATAAAAAAAAATGGACTTCCATATTTACCACAAAACAAAAGACACTTGGGACTGTTCTTGAGTATTAAATCGGCAAACAATACAACCTTCTCCAAAAAATCAAACGTGGTATATCAGTTTACATGCCCCAATGAAGGATGTCGCCTTCGATCCCCCTATATTGTTATGACCGCCATAAAGCTCTCGAGAAGACTGACCTGCCGTCTACAAGCTGGTGCCCCCAGAAACCATATGCAAAGTGAACATAATGCTCACTAGGAACATACTAGTAGATAATACAAAAATTCTGGAGTCTACCACTGACCAAAGAAGACTGCAAATGCAGGCAACAAGTCACAATAACGTGGCTAAAGTATGTTGACAAAACAACACACTAGAAGGTGAAGGGACGACGACGTTTTGGTTCGTCCTGGCCCATTCTCAAGTCGATTGTGATGAAGTAGATGCAGGCAATAAATAGGCAAGAGAGAGGTGAGGAGCAAAGTAAGGTATAGTAGTAGGAATAAGAACTGCAGAGGGCCTATTGACCCACACGAGGCAGCTCCTATTATAACCACTGAATGAGAAGGAGATAGTAATGGGAATAAGAAGAGGATAGTAAGGGAATGCAAGAGAAAACAATGAATAGAAAAGAGAAAAAGATAAATGGAAGGGTAAGCTTATGTTAGGTCATGTTTGTTAGAAAGATTAGAGCATTTGAGTATATACTGTGAGAGGGAAGAGTCCACAGCAACAAAGCCAGGACTCAAGTTCATGTTGGATACATTGTGTATTAGAGCCGATTCAACAAGACGGCGTCTGTGTAGAGTAGAGGCAGGAAAGATTATTTTGGAGGAGGACCAATCAATAGGATGATTGGAATCCCTCGCATGACAGAAGAGAGCATTGTTAGTGTCTGCAGATTTAACACTTCTTGTGTTCTTTAAGTCTGCAGACACTAACAATGCTCTCTTCTGTCATGCGAGGGATTCCAATCATCCTATTGATTGGTCCTCCTTCAAAATAATCTTTCCTGCCTCTACTCTACACAGACGCCGTCTTGTTGAATCGGCTCTAATACACAATGTATCCAACATGAACTTGAGTCCTGGCTTTGTTGCTGTGGACTCTTCCCTCTCACAGTATATACTCAAAAGCTCTAATCTTTCTAACAAACATGACCTAACATAAGCTTACCCTTCCATTTATCTTTCTTTCTCTTTCTCTCTTTTCTATTCACCGTTTTCTCTTACGTTCCCTTACTATCCTCTTCTTATTCCCATTACTATCTCCTTCTCATTCAGTGGTTATAATAGGAGCTGCCTCGTGTGGGTCAATAGGCCCTCTGCAGTTCCTATTCCTACTACTATCCCCTCTACTACACCTTACTTTGCTCCTCACTTCTCTCTTGCCTATTTATTGCCTGCATCTACTTCATCACAATCGACTTGAGAATGGTCCAGGACAGACCGAAACGCCGTCCTCCCTTCACCTTCTAGTGTGTGGTCTGATCAAAAAGATTGCAAATCTTCGAAGCTATACTTAAAATAACAACTCGCCTTAAATGTACAGAATAACAATTTTACTTCCTTGCCTACACTCAAAGATCTCGCCAAACATCACCAAAAAATGACTATCTCTACTGAGGTCTCCCCACTAACGAGTGTCTTGCTCCATCACCTTGCCCCACACTAACCAAAAATTGTACATCATGTATTCATTCTTTACCTGAAGATGTCCCAGATTGGATTGAAACATTGTAAAAAAAATACATCCTTCAATAATTACTAGTTTCTATACCAGGAATTTTGTTAACTTGATTGCTCTTAATACTAATAATAAGAAAATAGAAAGCTTATACTAAGATCAATGCTAGTGATGCAGTTATTCTATAGCCTAATATGTTTACATAATTTATGTAATCTTGGCCAGCATGCATTCATTGTCTTGTCTCAACATAATTATGAAGCACCTATTTTGCTAGGACATTAGAGTTTGATATATAGTTAAGGAAACAGTGATGTTGAGAGATGAATGTGTGAGAAAATACTTTTTGGAGCTGGTCCTGCACGTTGCGTTCTCATTTCCTCCATGATCTCTGCTACACGTTGCCTAACATCCAAACGACCAAGATCCCCTCGTAGCATCAATAACGCAGTAAGATGATCTCCTGTCATGTCTGGGTACCTGGAAATACAACACAAAATAATCACAAAGAAGTTACACTAACATGATGTATCAATGAGAAAATCAATTGGAACAATGAGGAGACTTTAACTAGCGATCAGGGTACTCCCAGCTGTGCACCTTATACTGTGTCATGGTACAGGGGTAAGTTATACAACTTGGGATTCCACCGAATCCACAGGAAGTCTGGAGGTTTCTACCGATGTAAGGCGGTATCAGTAGAGCTCGCGCAACCCTCTCCAGGAGTAAGGTGCGTGGCCGAGAGCATCCCGATGACTGGTTCAAGTCACTAAATTGTTCCAATTGATTTTCTCAAAATAATTATTGTAATTCATTCAGTTCATGCAAATAACAGAAGGCATGAAAATGGCTGCAAAAGCAAACACCCACGATAAACCTGGCACCAAATGGTGAAACTAGATAAACATAAGCCAAAGATCTGGAGCACAACCCACCAACACCACAGTAGAATGGGTGACGTCAGGTTACTCAAAAGACTGCAGCCCATAACCAGGGGCAAAAGTAAATTAGGAGGAGAGTGAAAGTCCAGGCAAGAACAATGCCTGGTGCGATCAGAGATCAGGGCACCTGACAGCTGGGTGGACAGCGCTTCGGATTCGTAGTCCTGTGGTACCAGGTTCAATTCCCAGCAGAGACAAATGGGCAAAATGTTTCTTTCAGCCTGATGCCCCTGTTATCTAGCAGTAAAGAGATACCTGGGAGTTAGACAGCTGCTACGGGCTGCTTCCAGGGAAGGGGGTAACAAAAAGCAGGCCTGGTCGAGGACCGGGCAGCGGGTACACTAAACCCCGAAATTATTTCAAGATAAGAAGCAATACCTACCCCCCCCCCACCTTCTCCAAGTGCCATCAACAGAGCCACACAGAAGTCATGGAGTCGTGGATCTTTGAAAATCAAAGATAGCCCTGCCAGTGAAGATTGAAGGCATCAAACAGGAGAAAAGCCAAAATAAAAAAACTGCCAAGAATTACTTTTTTCTTCTTCTATAAAAGTGCCCCAACTAGGTAGTTATTCAATGAATATAGCTGATGAACGAGTGAATATCCCCCCACTGTACCCTCATACGAAGAAAACCTATTGGGGCGTTTACCTGTCAGTCTTGTACATGTCTCCATCACTACTCAAAATATTACAGTACTGCTAATGGATCACTACCCAGAATGTAAACATGTTAGGCAAAGGAAAATGTAATGACATCACATCTATCAAGTGCAGAGCCCATAAAGCACTGCCCATTGTTTCATTGGGCAGGTTACCGAGTCACTTGGTGGGTTCAGGGCCTAGACCCCATTGCTTTATGGGCTCTGCACTTGATAGATGTGATGTCATTACATTTTCCTTTGCCTAACATGTTTACATTCTGGGTAGTGATCCATTAGCAGTACTGTAATATTTTGAGTAGTGATGGAGACATGTACAAGACTGACAGGTAAACGCCCCAATAGGTTTTCTTCGTATGAGGGTACAGTGGGGGGATATTCACTCGTTCATCAGCTATATTCATTGAATAACTACCTAGTTGGGGCACTTTTATAGAAGAAGAAAAAAGTAATTCTTGGCAGTTTTTTTATTTTGGCTTTTCTCCTGTGCGATGCCTTCAATCTTCACTGGCAGTGCTATCTTTGGATTTTCAAAGATCCACGACTCCATGACTTCTGTGTGGCTCTGTTGATGGCACTTGGAGAAGGTGCGTGGGGGGGGGGGTTATTGCTTCTTGTCTTGAGATGATTTTGGGGCTTCGCGTCCCCGCTGCCCGGCCCTGGACCAGGCCTCCTCTCTAGTTTCCAAAACTAGACCTTACAAATGTAAGGTCTAGTTTTGGAGCCAAGAATATATATGCAGCCCCTTGTTGAGGTGTTAAGAAATGAATGAAAAACTTTCTTAAATCACCCTCCCAACCAAATGACTGAAATCCTAAGTGAGAGTGGAACCTACAATAAGCAAAAGACACCTAAAAGATCACGAGCACAAACTCTGGAAGTCGGCACAAAAGCCTACCTCCAGTCAGTGCAGAACCAAGCCTAACACATGTATAAAAAAAAAAAAAAAAAAAACAGAAAAAGAATGAAAGACCAGGGAAACTCTAGCTAAGGGACAGAACTGGGACCATGACTTGAAGGAAAACCAGAGTTCAGCCACAAACCAGGAGGAACCTGGAATGCCTGCTACAGTAACCAAGAAGCAGCAAATGAACCAAATCCAAATAAAGGGGGAATCCGGTCAGAAGGGCCATGATCTCCGAGCAGGAATCTCAACAAGGCCTGCCGAGCTCTAAGGAATGGGAGGCAATCTGAACCACCAGGAAACCCCCAGTTATAGTGGATTAGTGGCCAATGAAAGAGTTGTGAACACAAACATCCTGCAGGTAATGAGACTGGAGCATGTTCGAGGCACTTGCACCACAGAAGACAGGATCACCAAGGTCAGCCACTGCCCATAAGGAGTTGTAGAGGGACGCCATGGCATTGGTTAACCTATTAGATGCAAACATTCTCCTGGCACCAAAGAGACCCTCCAACAAACCCCTACACCCTCTCCTGAAGGAGAACCACCAGGATTGGAGCCCAAATTCAACCAGGAACTCTAGAGAAGAAAAAAAGCCTTCAACCCTCAAAAAGGAGCACACTCCCAATGCATTCAAAAATAAAAGGGAAGTACCACCAAAGCTACATGAAAAGGTCTGGAGGTAGAATACACCAAACACAAAATTCTCAAGTGCTCATAGTGAGGTATCCCTACCCTCCATGGTGGGAACAGCTGGTATCCAAAGATGGGGTACCAGTTGTACTTTAAAATTTAGCCCTTTGTCTGGGAAGTCGTATGTAATTGGGGGGTTGAGCCCCATGAACCCTCATCCTCCTTTTACATGAATTGGCAAATTACACTATTTTAAAATCTTTCTAAATAAACAAAAAACTCCCATCCTCTCTAGATTTATCTAACATATTAAATGTTTCTCTTATTCCATTTATTTATGATGGTATTTAGTGAAAATGGATACAGGAATGAAGGGAAAGTGGTGAAGAGTAGAAGTGGTGGTGATAAGTGCAAATGCTCTACACCTATGTCAAAATATGCCCTTTAACATTTACATCACACATGCCCAGATGACTTGTGGTTACAAATTACACTTCAAATGACTGATCACAGAAATTCCTGGCTCTTACTAAACAGATTTAATTAACTTTGAATCAGTAACCTTGCATTTTAAAGCTAATGGTGACTAAGTATCTTGTACATTTACAATAATGGGAAGATTTAAAAAAAAAAAATTATCTGTAAAGGTGACACTGAAAAAAAAAAAGACTAACCTGCGTAGTAATCGATGTAGCTCCAGACTGATGAACTCTACATCCGATACTTTAACAACTTCAGCCAATCCTTTCATCACCTCGCAAGGAGAGTCAAACTTCACAAGATCTGGTGCAACTTGTTCAAAAACACTTGAAAGTTTTAAAGCCTCCTGAGGAATCAAAATATAAATGAGAAGAAACATTGCTCATAAGGTGCCCTTCCTCGCCCCCTATACACGTCCTTCCCTTGTCACTAATCAAACGGTTGTACCCATAATGAAAATCTGTCATCTGATCACACGTTTTAAAAGTCAATCTCTAAATACACCAAGATTTTTAATGGATCAAATGTTATGGACTTGGGTTGTACATTTCATAGCCACTGACTTAGTGAAGGGAGTATATGGAAAGACTCCCCGTCTAAGAAGACATTTAGCCTGATTGACTTTAATCTTGCCAAAGTTTAAAAGGGGCTAGCCCCAAGCATCTGGCCTCTAACCTTGCACAAAATTGTTTATCTTGTACAGATATGTTAAAAACTGCATATTGCAGTCATTGTGTTACCAAGACCAGCTTGTTCTACACAAAAATTTTGAATATTTTTACTTTCACAAATTAGTTTATTTTTATATACCAACAAAATCATTGTTTATACAGTTTAAATATGCAGAAACACATCATTTGTGAAAAGAAAAATCTTGAAAATTTTGTTATACAGTACCCAACAAAGGACAATACTAGAGCACATGTCTGGGAATACCCAGCGCATAGGTTCGAATCCTCATCACAGCTCCTGTGGACTTTTTCCATTGATGTATCACGTTACTGTGATTTCTCTGTGTATGTAAAGGACAACTGTTCTTAAAATCTGAAGTGATAAAATCAAGATTTTTGAGGCTCCACTGTACTGTTATCAACAAGACTGATGCACATTCTTTAATTAAATAAAAAGTACAGTATTCATCATATTTCTTATTATAATTTACACAAGCCATTCTTTTTATATTAATGTTTGAATATAAGCAATGTGATCTATCATTTCTTTTAAGAAAATTCTAAAATATTCATTCCCAAGTGGCAAAAATAAATTCATCTGTACCAACATAAAAATGCAAATTGAGTGGGATTTGGTTGTATGTCTCACAAAAATATTGGATTATTTTTTCTTTCAACATGCAGCGATCATCAAAGGTGCTACTCTAGTCTATGTGGGGGTCTTCACTCCCCCCTCCCCACCCCCTCCCTAAAAAAAGTCTACTGTACGTCGTTTCTGGTTTCATGAACATTAGGCAGAAGCTAGGTTGAGGAATTATTTGGCACGTGGATACGTTAATATTCAGTCTGCCGACTCCTCATGTAGAGTCAAGGGGATTTGATGTTAAAAGTTAAATAGTCTGTTTGCCATTTCACTTTTAGTTTACACAATGTGTGTGGAATAACTGGATTGGTATACACATAACTGACAAAAACAGTGGTAGAGTACTGTTTATAGGCCCTACAATATTATATGTATACTGTACCTATGCTGAATTGCACATAAATTTGTTCCTAGCACAACTTAAAGGAAGTGTCTTATACAATTTGTATAAAGAACAGGTGATTACACTATAACCATACAATGAGCCCTTTACCCTGGTGATCAGTGTATGGCAATAACCACACTAAGGGTTACAAAAAACGTTAATGGTAGATATGGAAAAAAACATTTTATTAGAAAGGCAATAAGAGATTAAAAATAAACTCTGGGAAAAATACCATTAGTTTTTTCTTAACCCAAAATATTCATTGATGATTAGATTTATATGGGTATGATATTCAATGCTTTTTGGAAATTTCTGATATAGTATTTAGTTATTTCAGCCACTTATTCTATTGTAAAATTTTGAGAATTCCAATATGTGTTAAAAGTAAGTGTTAATAATGGCATTTGTTGATGACACGCAGGCAAGTGTCAATGCACCATCCAAGAGTCAAAGTGATAGCATGCCATAACCTGTTATAGAGTTGGTGCTGTGAAACAAGGCTTTGCTATAATCTTCTAAAAATATTTCCCATTATTTAAGGATTGCAATCTTTTCCTATCTCTTAATACAAGATATGGTTAAAGTAAATAAAAACTTAATACAGTACAGTATATGATGTCGAGAAGAAAAGTATCGTACTGCACATTCAGACAACTCTTAGAATAAATTCATTAATTCAATAAAAGGAAATACTCACAGCAGTTATACGGTCAGCCACCAGCTTTCGGTCCTCCTGTGTTTTAGGTGTTAACCGTTTCTGCAAGATGGCTGTTGTATACCGCATTGTAACTGTATTTAGCGCTAACTGCACCACATGGTCAAAGTTCCTGCAAGTGACAGGTATAGGTAAAATAATTTTCCTATTAAAGTAAAAAAAATTTTTTATTATAAAATGATATATTTATGATTCTTTCTACCATTACACATACATACAGTATATTTGTTATTTATATATAAATGCAAGACTCAAAGCTGTAATTTTGTGATTTGACAATTGTCATTTCAATGCTCAAATTCACCAATACAGTAGTAAAGGTGACTTCCAAAACTGTAAACAGGTACCCGTGTAAAATTCATTGTATCAGGGTCCAGGCAGCCAGTGTGTGTATATATACTTGTTAGACTTATATCAAGGTCCCCCCCTTAAGGTCTAATTACCGACACCCCTCCTTCCGGGATGCAACCTCACAACAAGTTGACTAACTCCTGCATACCTACTTACTACTAGGTGAACAGATGCATTAGATGATAAGAAATGTGCCCAACCAATTCTGTCCCACTCAGGATTCAAACCTGGAATGCTTGATTACGAGTTGAGAATAAACCCAATTGTACTACTGGGACACAATGTATGCAAGGTACTTTATTGCAGTGTTCATATTGTTATTTCTTATGAATAAAAAGTTTTGAAATATATTCAAAGTTTCAAAATCCATTTATTGTGTATATTGGGGAAGGCCAAGAGGAAGGAGAGGTATAACTAATGAGATGCTAAACACCAAGATAACTAACATCAGAATCAACTAATGGAAAATACAATCTTGGAAAAAACAAAAAAAAAAAAAAAATTGTGGAGTAACATGCATTATTTGTAATTTGCAAATAAATTATTTAAAAAAATGCTATGATGGCAAACAATGCTGATAAGCACTCATTAGCAAGATGCAAACACACGAAGGGTACTTTTTATGTTAAAATTAACTTCCAAAGTGAGATATGCCACTGGTGGAGAGCAGATGAAATGGGATGTGCTACTGCAGGAAATGTTATTATATACTGTACATTTAGCAAAGGCATGATAAAATTATAAATAATTTTGTTACTTTTAAGTACAAGAGAGAATAATACTGGATATTAGCTTAAATCTCACTTTTGATGAAGATGAGAGTAATCATTAAAGTAGTCGGAGAGCGTCAGACAAATGGTGTCCATGGGTTCGGTGTTGGTGAGCCAAGGTGCAGTCAAGAGAGAATTGAACTGCTCCTGCAGGTCTACCAGGGCCTCCTCCAACAAGTGATCACACATCAAATCTCGTAAACGCTGAAAAGAAACCCCTTGCATAGTAGTAGGCAGTGTTGCATAGGCACAAACAGATTCTCTCTCTCTCTCTCTCTCTCTCTAAAATAACTCGTGCAATGTAACAAGACTTAAATATGCCTTATGAAAGACTGAACTCTACTGTGTAACCCATTTGATCCTTAGTAAAGGATAACAGCTTTAAAGAATGGTATTCTGCAGGAAGTGACCAGTGCCCCTCTCTCGTCCCTTCTGCTGCTTCTCAGCATTCATATTGGCTGTCATCCAAACCTTCAACACTTTAATACCTAACACAAAACTCATCCCTCCATCCTTCATTAATTTAATTTACCTTTCATTAATCTTAGTAGTTCTTACACTACAATATTAATGCATAAAATATTGCTTCTTTCTTCATCTTCTAGCTTTTATAAAATTATAAAACTACAGAGAAAGAGGGCCGATATGATTCACCCACAAAACCACTTTTGATGTGTGAATTTGGTCCATATACCATTTTAAAGCCCCTGGTCCAAGCTACAAATGACCCATACATCTGACCACTCATGTAAGAATCCAAGCATGATGTAAAGGAAATGTATGCTTACAGTTGACTGGTAGCTCCCACCTATGCTCTACACTGACCCTTTCCCATTTCCTATTTTACTAAATTATATAATGTGATAAACAATATTATTATAAAACTTGTGCTCTATTAAAGAGTTTAACAGAAGTCAGGCTTTGATTATGAAAAACACCTTTATGATTAGGTAATTATCAACAGAAGAAACACCTTCATGAGCAGGATCATCACGTGTTTCGTAAGGAAGGATCCATCTTATTCTCGGCAACTGGCTCCCAAAGGGTTACAACAAACAACTTGGGCAAAGCAGCAGACAAAAGCTCAAGCAACTTCGTTTTGCTCTGCCAAACCAGGCCACAGTTGAGAGAAACGTTCCTGGCAGGCAAAGAACTTACATTTGCCAGGTAAATGTGACTTTTCCACAATGAAGTGCTGAATCAAAGGGAAAATCCAAACATGTGAAAAAGCTTTATCAGAATTCTGATAAAAGCAAAAAGATCTGGCAGTGGTTCTAGATAGAAAACTTTCCTGAGGACCGCAAAGAACATTGGAAAGCGTAGCACAGACTCCTCCCACAATTTCATAATTGCTTTTACACACATGGAGGGTTTAAATATTATTGAAATTGTTCACAGCCTTTGTGAGACCAAAGTTGGAATATGCAGCAGTTCTATGGTGCCCATATCTCAAGAAGCACATCAATAAACTGGAAAAGGTGCAAAGACATGCAACAAAATGGCTTCCAGAACTGAAAGACAAGAGCTACGAGGAGAGTTTTAGGAGGTGTTAAATATGCCAAACTACAAGACAAAAAAAATGAGACAATATGATCACTATGTTTAAAATGGTGAAAGAAATCATCAAAATTGATAAAGAAGAATTCTTAAATCCTAGAACCTCAAGAACAATGGGTATTAGACTTAAGCTAACTAAACAAACATGTCAAAAGAACATCAGAAAGTTCACTTTTGCAAATGGAGTGAATGACGGTAGGAACAATTGAGGTGGCAGAAGCCAAAGCCGTCAGTACATTAGTTTCAAAGCATCACATGACATCACATGAAACAGCCTAAGCTACTCTATTCCTTTGAGATGTATTTTTTCTTGTCTCAATAAACATACTTTAACTTGAACACATGACAAGAGTACTGAGAAGACAGGACAACACGAGTGCATTTCTCTTCTTGTAATTACACTTGGGTAATTACCCGAGTAGTATAAGACCACGCTACTCCAGTTTCATATAATGCATTAAAAGTGCTTAATATTTGTCCATTGCCTTTCACCAAGGGGAAAGCAATTTTTTTTTTTTTTTGGGCAAATTCTAAAGTTACCGTTAACAGTAAATTATGGCAAATATGCATGACGGCAAAGCTTGGAATTCTTGTACAGGATTGCAAGAATTTTCCCTACTGTATAAATTTAGGGAACACAAGATTAAATGAGGACAATATGAAAAGCTAATGCCTGTACCTGGTAAACTGTGAGCAAAGCATCAAACTCGGTAGCAATTTTGGCATCATTTTGGGTAGATCCTCCTGGCTTCCAAAACTGAGACTTGATTGCTACCATGACATCCACAAGGCCTTGGCAGCTATTAGCTAGTGCTATGATATATGTTGTGAAATACTGGATCTGTGAAAAAGATACATAAAAGCTATAAAAGCAATGGTAAAGCATTATCTAAAATTGCATCTTATGCACAACATAAAAGAAAATGTATATGGTTTCCTGTTGTTGAGGACAGGAAGTCTGTACTTGGCAATACTGAGGTCACCCTTGGCCAACTACTGTGCTCACCATTCCCAGGATGGAACCCACAACAATTAACACCCAGGGTCCTATTTACTGCTAGATCACTAAACTATGGGGCATATTTCCTTTCACCTGATGCTAAACAGAGGCATCAGGTGAATGGAAATGTGCCCCATAGTCACTGTCCTGGCCGAGAATTGAACCTGGAACCCTTGGTTGCTAGCCGACAAAGTAGACTTTTGGGAAAAGTGCAAAAAAAATAACGTGACAATGAAGTCTCGGAAGGAAGCAATTATAGGAAGTTCCATACCTGGGAGGGTGAATTGTAGTTCTTACACATGCACACTTCTCTCAACATAATACCTAACAGTAAGAAAAAAAAAAAGTGCTCAAAGTAGGTAGGTTACCTTTGACCTGTCAGCATAGTATGTGTCCTTATATCGAGTCACTCCAGCTTGGAATTTTGCTGCAAAAAATCGTACTTGCTCCAGACTAGATATCAGCACCTGGACTTGCACATCAGAGCTGTTCATAAAGAAAAAATGAGGGTTACTTTAATATTATTTTGTTCATTTATTGTTAAAAATAAATAACTAAATAAAAAAAACTTATCTATACAAACTAAAAACCATTAATATCATAGTGTATATACATGTAAGTTAAGAGGAATAGATTTTGAAAAACCAGATTATAATTTTAAGATGACAGTTTAATAAAAATATTTGTAACAAATAAGGAAGAGTTCCAAACTGTGTGACGGGATTGTATCCTAATTTTCAGTCATAAAAACTGCCCACTGCAAGAATGAAGCTAAAGACATTAGTGATTACCTATAGTAATAATATTTGTACTACGTATATCTACAGGTTTTTGCCATAAAGTCTCCAAACTAACCACCACCTTTCACTCCCTATAATTGACTAAATAAAACACCTAGTACTGTAGTTTTTTAAAGTAGTGTTTTAACCTAACAACTTAAAACCCTGACTTTAAACTGCCCAAGTCATTCAGCCATATACATAAACAACTGATTAGCCAATTTGAGCCTCGGAACCTCACCTGATAGTGGCAGCAACATCCAAGTTCTGACGTATCATGTCATGAATAAGTTGAGGAAGCTCCGTTTTGTAGTGCGAGTCTGCGTCTTGCTGTGGAGGTTCAGAACGGTACCACTCTTTCTCTTCTATTTCTAGTGCTTTGCTCATCCAGGAATCATAGTTGCTATTTACGTTCTGTAATAAAATAGTGTAACCTAGGTACTTAAACATATGGAAGACAAATGTAATTGCCAACATTTATAAATAAGGTACTTCTAGTATGGTACAGATCATACAGCATTTTTCCTGGGCACAGGTGAATGTATTACAATATACAATGTAGACTAGTTAACTACAGCATTCATAAAATATTTACCTCCCAGTGTTTTGTTTTTTGCTTCTATGTAAACTAAAATACAAGTCAAATTAGTTTGCTGTACTAATTAATGACTTTAATTACTAATTAAAAAAGGTCATAAAACAAAAGGGTATGCGAGAATGTTTACCAATTTTTGTTTCATTTGTCTTACAAAAAAACTAAGCATTTTCTCTATAGACTAAACAAACATCCCTTGTACCCTCCTGGGAGCGCCCCATGAGATGGGGACCACAGCAGAAGCTTTTCCAGGAAGCTCTCACTACACAAACTTTTCATTCTTTCAAATTCTCTAATCCATCCCACTACTCTTTCCTTCATATATTGCTGCACTTTTCCCTTCCCAAACACTGGTCATTTGCATTTACCATACAATTCCCTTATTTCATTCTTACAAATATCCAGAGATTTCAGAAAATGTACAAAATTTGCACTTAATGGATATAAGCATTTATAATTATATTTCTTCTATAGTCTCCCGAGAACCTTCAAAGGAGATCCTTCAAGAATGTAATCGACCAGATTTTAACATCACACCAGGATCAGGTCGTGGTCCAACGGCATCCACCGGATGCATGATAGCCAGACACCCAGAAATTATACATTTTAAATGGCAATCACTTCCTGATCCTAACATTCCATCTCTAGTTTGAGTTGTAATGCCACAATTATAATTAGAAAAAAAGTAAAGTTGTTTTACCTTTAGATATTTGGACACAAGATCTTCTAATATCTTATTATCCAGGAGTGGCCCTAACTTGCCAACATTGATGTTGAGCGAAGGATGACCCATGAGTTCTTTTCCACCATAGACATTGAGTACCCATGACAGTAGTGTAACATACTCATTGTCTTCCAGACCTCCTTCTATCGTTTCTACGAGCTGAAAAAGTAAATGAATAATACCGAATAGTATTAATATAAATATATAACTCTCCCTATGGATAAAATAATGTTCTTACCTAACTGGTAATTTAAAGTATGAAAACATTTGGTTAGTTGATTACACTGGTTACAAGAAACAAACTACAATAGTATTCCTCGTTGTTTACTGTTACTAGTTTAGTACCATTTTACAGGAGGAAATGGATACCATACGATTTTGGGTTTAGTTTTAAAGAACCTTTCCTTTCAGCAACACAACACCAAAAACAAATAATAATAGAGAATGTCAAGAATATTGCAATGTTGCTTCCTTAACAGTCCTTCTGTTTCTCCCAAGTAAAACACCACCATCGCTAACCCAGACGAAAAAAAAATTGCCGGCCACTGTTGACCCGTACTCACACAATGACAGGTTTCCTGGCTAATCATCTTGCCAAATAAAATGAGGAAGGAATCCACTGTAGCTACTACATTAAGAGTAATATAGTTCTCAAGTTCTATTGCAAGCAATTACTGTAAATTTCTGTTTATTCCACATTACTTATCCTTAAGAATTCCTATTTCAAGTGGTTGTCAAATAATCTTGTGCAATAATTACAATTAATAGTTGTTCCCAAGATTTCCAGGAATCGCTTAGGACAGGCAATGTAAACAAGATAGATACCTTGACAAATCAGGCAAAGCGTGGCATATAAGCTGCCAAGAACGCATTGTCTCAGTGTAACTCCAATAATGGTTCAGCGAGATCTCTGGATATACTGTGAATCTTTAACACCATCGACAGTCACCACCATATGATGTAACACTCAGAGGATGTTACAGCTTTGCTACAGAGCAAAATTCCAGCCATATTCTACCTACTCAACATCACCCCACATTTGAGCTCTCTACCCCCAGCCTCATTGAAGCTCTCTGCTCTTATCTCCAGGCTTCCCACAAGTATCCTCATCTCTGCTAGCACTACATGTCATAACATTTACAACATTCAACTGCTGTAATGAAGACTATAGACGTATTAAATAAACAAAAAACTATACTCTTTGAATGTCAAACAAAATCTTATGATACACCACCACCAAGAGACAACTTGCTGTGATACAAAGCAATAAAAAAAATTAATTGATCCTGACCCAATCACTTGGACAGCTTGTTAAAGCAAAAGCCTCACTTATTGGAAGTTGCCGTTCGATTCTCGACAGTAAATAATTGAACACCATTTCTTCTCTCTGTCCCAGCCCAGCTAATTATCCTCATGTTCCTTCAAAAGGTTATATAATTGTACAGTACTTGTTAAGTACTTTCTTTTTATAATTACTTACCTACCTGGAAGCAAAACCACGGGTACACAAGGAAAACCAGTTATTGTTCTGAAACTATTGAAGTACTGTACCACTAGCCACTACCCCAGAGTGTGCAGGGTGCGTATTTATAGGAAACAACAGTACTGAAAAATGGCACAAAGCTCTACTTACATGATTGGCCAAACTCTTATGGTACATCTGTACGTAGTGGTTTGTTATGTCATAGTGGGGTGGGAAGCATGGCACACACAGCGATCTTATCACTTTCATGTCCTCAAGCAGCAGCAGTCGAATCACCTGATGTTTAACAATACTAAATTAAAAACCTTGCATAAAAGACAAATAAAGGCATGTACTACATTTTATCAAGCACCAATTATGAAACAAAATGAGAGAAGGAGTTCATGCATTTGAATGGCATAGATCTAGTAAAAAAAAAAAAAAATTGTATACTGTACACAACTAAAAACAACAAATTATATAATTTGATATCATTTTGCTATGATCAACGTGCATTACAGTTGGCAGTAAAAATGTTTCTAGGAAATTAAAAAAAAAAAAAAAAAAAAAAAAAAAATTGTGAAGGGATGAGAGCATACTTTTGCTCATTCAAGTTTCAGCTTTTTACACAAAATATACATTACTGTACCTCTAAATGTTTTATTAGCCAATTTTTACTTGCTTCTCTATCTTCAAACATGTTTCCTTCAATACGTTGTGCTGCAGCACCTTCCAGTACCAATAATGCTTTCTCTCTCCATTTCTTGGGTCGACCTGGAGGTAAAAAGCCTGACCCCTTCTGACGCTGAAAAAGAATAATTTGACGGTGAATCACTAAATGATAACTGGCATGTGTAACCATCTTTCTCTGTCTAGGCAAGTGGATGGGAAAGGTGCGAGGTGGGGAAGTAGTGCTTGCTTGTAACATGAATTGTCAATGGCTGTAACCAACATTTGTATTACATGTATTTACTTATTCATTCACCAGTACTGTATTGTATACTGTGTTTAGCAACAATTTTAGTGTATAAATGGTAGATTCTCACAAAGTCACAGAATGAAACTTTAGAAATGGGGATGGAGGGAAGGAGGGATTTGGCTCAATTGTCACATCCACTATACAACAGCAGCCGATATTCACTAGCACAAGGTGGTGGGGGAGGAAGGAGGGGAATTGAACAGGATGAAGACATTTCAGTGCCATCCACCCCCGCCTTGGCTGTTTATATAGTTACGTTCTGGTAGAAGGGATGAAGAGTTGCATTCAGCCTAAAACAACAATGCTACAGTCAAATTCTCACCAATTCATTCATCCATACACACACTCATCATGTTTTATTACTGTATAATAATCAGTGTGGATAATGTGGTGGGATGGACTGTTATTTCAGTTTTACCATGGTAGTCAACAGAAATATGGTTTTAATTTACCAAACTTATGATTATCGAACACTTTTCTGTGACTGCATCTCATTCGTTAAGCAAGGTTCATCTGTATTAAGAACAAGTATATTATGCTATACGGAATATAAAAAAAATTTCAGTAATTGTGGGAATTCAAAGTTCTATGATGGCAAATGTGTATATAATTCCAGTGATAAGACTATTCTGATAGTTTTCTGATGCTTTCTGGTAAGACTATTACAGCAACCGAGATAAGTTTCACATGAAAATTATTCAAAGACATAACTTGATTACCTGCAGAGCAAACTGGTCAGCCCGTTCTTCTCGCTCCACGATCCTTAATGCTGTGACAATCTGTGTGGGTTCTTTCCTCACAGTGTTGAGGGTACGCTGTAGGATGATCCAAACCTGTTTACCTAGGAAAAAAAAAAGTGCAACTTATATACTATAGTTTATTACAATGTTTTCCAACAAGCTGCAGAATTATTTTATTAGGCAATATAATTTTAAACTACAATATAATGAATTATTTTATACTGTGCCTAAATTTTAAGATGAAAATATTATAATTTAAAAAAAATTCTAATTCATCAAAATTTATTAACATCAACTAAGTGTAATTCAAATATTATATCTCTGAAGTTTGCTAACCGTTTCTACCTTTTAAGATAATGGATATTTTAGAAGAGCTTACCAAGATCATCTGAGAGCTTCTGGACATCAGCAAAATATTCTTTGAGCATCCTTGTATCATTAGGGTTCTGGTGCGGCAACTTGTGCAACTCGAACAACAAGTCATCTCTGCTATTCTCCAGATCCATCAGACACTGAAAACCAATGAAGGATTGGGACAAGATTAAATAAAGATGCACATGCGAGGCAGCATGAAGCCCTTAAAGACACAAAGACGTACAGACAGTAGAGAGGAATGTGCACTTTCCCCTCCAAGTAATAAATCTATGAAACAGCCTAACTATTAAAGCTGTGACAATACAATGGTTAAAACAAATCTGTAGAAACTCTTCAGAAATAATGCGAGATTAATCTTGACGAATTAAAAGAAAAAGCTTGTATAGTATATATAATCTTCAAATTAAACAGTTATATTTTTACTATAATTTACTGTACTGTAAAACTCTGGTTTAACCCTTAGACTACAAGTCACTTTAATTGACATTTGAGAGTTCAAAGGATCATACTGTGACATGTAAATAAACATTTTTTATTATAAAAAATAAAGGCAATCTAGTTCTGTTTATAAATCCCTATAACTCCTTGTACCAATAACTGTTCAACATCTCTGTCTAATATGTATTAGGAAATTAACCCTAACTTTTTTCATCAAATCATTAATTACAAGAATTCTGACATTTGTGGCATCGTTGTCAGAATATTTATAATAAAATATTAAGGCCAATACTTTTTTCAGCATTTTACTTCAGTCACCCAAAATTAGTTGCCATTTTCCTATCCTCACAAGAAAAGAAAATCCACCACCTTACCTCTTTGTGTGTTTTGATATGAAAGAGTATTATGAGAAAAATGCCATACAAAGACATGGCTAAAGATGCTCTTAATAAAGCAACATCTCATTTACACATTAAGAAACTGGAGCTTGTGGGACACTGGCAATTCTAGCACTTTATTTAAATTTACTTTAAAGATGATAATTATTCATAAATTTGTCCATAACCATCAGTATAAACGACACTAACCTGATGAGCATACAAGAGCCTTCCTTCTGCGATCCATTTGTGTGTTTTCTCAACAGACTCTGGCACAGTAAAAATGTGCTTCAGGTTTTCCATGGCAGCTGCATACTGGGAGTGTCGAACATATTCCTCACGGCACTCGTACAGGCGTTCACTCAACTCGGGCACCCTTACCAAGCTCAATTCCATGTCTGATAAACTAAAAGTAACTGCTCATTAAATATTAAAAACAAAATTCAGGGTCTGAGTGTACAGTACTGTATATATAAAGAAAAAATCAAAGAAAACTCAGTTGCTCCCTAAGGAATGATCCTACTGATCCCTGGCACAGGCAGTGAACAGGTTGACATTCTGCACTAATGTAGCAAGAAGTTTTCCAAACTGTTCCCATGGGGTCATACTGGTACTTTAAAGAAATCAAAGAATACTAGACTTTCTGTAGCAAAGAATGGCAGAAAAAAGTACATGTTAACAAAAATGGCTAAGCCTTTCCAACCAATACCAAAAAAGCCTTCTCCAATCAATACTTGGCATACAAGGACTGTCAACCCAGCCTATCAAATGGCACACTAGGTCACTATTCCCGTCCATCCCGACTGCCACCAGATGAGGGCATTAACCCCCTCAATAAAATCCTCTGGCCAAGCTCATCACATTCTACTTGGGCCCCAAAGAAAGGAAAATTCAAGCTTAAAAGTATATTATACAGTAGGAGGAAGTAAGATAATGCTACAGGCATCTAACAGGTACAACTTTTAACACTCTTTACTCAAAAAAATAGTCATTTGAACATTAAATATTTATATTCCCTCTACTACAAAATTCAGAATGCTTATGTGCAACAACACAATCATATAATTTACACAGTTCATACACATGAGAATATGGTGTGAGAGTGCAATACACTACTGTTTATCTAAACAGATTACATGTACAACCCCATATTAATCCACATTCAATACATACACCATCAAAATTTACCGTCGAATTTCAAAACAATGAAGGTGTTACTGGTACCACCTGGCCCAAATTTTCTTTAAACATTACAGTACCACGCAAATCAAAGTTGCCTGTATGACCCAGAATAAACGCTTAAAAATTTCCTCCTGCACCGTTGAAAATTGTCAACCTGCCCTGACTATGCGAGATGGAGGCAACAATAATCTTGAATTACAGAGCAACTGAGTGGTAAAGCTCTTAATTTAAAATATTTATTCAAAACTTTCCCAACCATACATAATTTTAAATTAATGACCCAGGGGCCACTTGAATACAGTACTTTTTTATTTTCTATATAAATGTACTGTACTGTAAAGTACGTTGTATGCAGGGCCGGATTAAGATTTTGTAGGCTCTTTGGACTACAGGTACTGTGAGGCCCCTCAATAATATTTTCAAAAGAAAGCCAAAGCTAAAGAAAATTTAATTTAAATTTATTTTTGTAACTAACAATAATTAAAATTCAAACCATTTGCCTTGCATAATTTCTTGGAAACTTAATTTCTCAAAAAACATCAGCAAATTGTAAATTAGTGAGAACATCATTTTCAATAGCCATGAGAGCAAGTCTGCTTAGTTTTTCTTGTGCTATTGTTGATCTGTGTCACATTCTTTACAAGTTTCATCTGGAAGAAACGCCTCTCTCTAGTCATATTAGTTATCATTAAACACAAGTAAATCCGTAGTGCTACTTAACATAAGAGAATAAATATGTTAATATATTGCTTACTACAAAGGTGTAGATATCAGAAGCTTGTAGTATTAAATGCTTGTGCCTGAATTCACCAAATTGTCCAAGAAAGGTCCTGAAGTGAAGAATTACTGCCACTGAATTCAGGCTCAGTGTAATCGGAGTAAATCTTTAGAAACTTTGCTGGTCCTGTTGAAATGTCTTCATCATATATTGTTGGAAATTTGACCAGGAAACTAAATGAATGAACATTTTATATACTGTACTTCAATGCAATGAGAGAGTTGAGCATAACTTACATGTGATGAGTAGATATATTTCCACTTTAAACTTCTGTCTTCCTTGCAAAGAACAGCTGCAGCATTACATTCATTGATTTGTTTTTTTTCCAATGCTCACATTTTTGGTCATTACAGTATTCTATATTTTCTACCTTGTCTTTTACTTTATTTTCAAACACATCACACTGATCCTACTGCAAGATAAAAATCCAGTAGAGATTTAATTAAGAAGTTTAATAGCTGACTGAAGCTCCAGTGTTACACGTTGAAGCGATTTGCTGATCTGATTGAACCGCTCAATATAACAGCCTAGAAGTCTGCCAAGAAAACAGTTTCCAACTTTTATTACTACTTGAGTATATAGCGTTTGCTTCATAAAGTGTGTTAGCCTATTGATTTCCATATGCAAATTACAGCTTTTCTACTGCAGGAGGCCCTTGGGATGCAGTTCCTTAAGCCCTCCCGCCTTAATCCGGCCCCGATTGTACGCAAAAATACCAAGCAAATGCAGAGAAATGACTTACCATGTCTTTATTTCCCTAAGATCTACAAGAGCAGCCTGGAGCTGACCAAGCCCTGTACGAACACCATCTAACTGACTCTGCATTGCTGTCTTCAACATGGCCTCCACTGATGCCTGAGAGAAAATACTGTAATGATTTATTTTCATCATCTTATGCAAAGATGCATCAGAACTCAAGTACTGATTATTTACAATCAATACCCTAAGTACCAAGTCATTTTAATCATACAGTATCTCGCTTTCCTTTCAAGAGAACTGCCATTGCTGCAGCTTTCAACTGCTGGAAAATTTAGGTAAGGCAATAGGAATGAAAATTAATTATATAAAAGTACAAAACTATACATAGACAACAAGGTGGAATATAACTTGTTGCAGCGGGGAAAAAAAAGGAGAGGTCAATAAGGACAGTGGTACTTTAAAATTTTACCTTTTTTCGTTGCACTCTCCTTCTATACTGATCAACCTTCTGTAACTGGTCTGGCCGCTGAAGCATATTTGCCACAAGCAGAGTAGCTCGGGCAACTGCTTCGGATTCTGCCTCTCCAACATCCATGCTCAAAAATCTGAAATAGAGGTGATAAATTATATATAGTACATTATTGTATACTGTACTGACATGGCATCATACAAGATGTTGCCAAGGTGATTTTCAAGCATCACTTCAGGGTCATACTGTGTTGTAGGAGTCACTCAATAAAATCATTCCAGCCAGAAATAACTTTCAGAGATCCTGCTAAACAAAAATTAGTCCTTTTAAGCCCTCAACTGTAATTACCTGAATTGCTTACCCAAATTAAAACTAAAGAACCAGAGGGGCATTCTCTTTCTAGTAGCCTTAATGGTAAAAGTAAGCCCCCAGCTTGTCAAAATTCTCCCAATGGTTCCTAAGGATTTTAAATTTTTTCAAACTGGATTTTGCTGGCATTTACAGCTTCAGTTGTTCCATTGATTTAATAATAATTTAAATTACTTAATTTGTTTTAATGGAGAAAGGAAGCTTGTGTGTATATACTGTGTATACTACTAGCTCTCCCCAGGATGCAACCCCACAACCTTTTGCTAACTCCTAGGTACCTATTTACTGCTAGGTGAACACAGGAATTAGGTGATAGGAAACATATCCAACCATTTCTGTCCTTCCCAAGAATCAAACCCAGGATCCTTAATCGAGAGTCAAGAATGAAGCCAACTGTACTGTGAGATCCCGTGGGTGAAAAAGTGCCCATTTTTTGTCCTACATTGTGTGTTGTTGAGCTTTAAACCGTTGCCCCTTGTATGCATTGCATTTAATCTCTAAAAGAAAAGAAGTGGTTTGGAGTATCATCCAATGAACAAATACACAAGGGCTGTGATGAGGATTCGAATCTGCGTCCAGGAGCATCCCAGACGCTGCCTGAATTGACTGAGCTATGACACAGTAAAAAGAGTTGAAACTGAAGTTCTACTGAACTTACTGGATCCCGTAGCCTCTCCGAGGCACAAACTAGGGTTTTACACAACTCCCCCCTGCAATTTTGTTAATTTGATGCATCATGTTACAATACAATACAATACAATTTTATTTAGGTAAGGTACATACATACAATAAATATTTACAAGGATTGTTTAACTTATAGGTATAGCTAGTACATACAATGCCTAAAGCCACTATTACGCAAAGCGTTTCGGGCATGATAAACTTAAATGACAAGCTTAATACTAATTGAACATAATGAGTAGAATGAAACAAGAAATGAAAACATAGATGAAAAAGCAGCACAAATACAATTATGTCGACAAACAGCGCTCTTTAAAGAAAAAAACAGACATTGGTTGACAATAGAAGGGTAAGGTAGGTTACAGGGAATTTATTAGGTATCTTATGTTAGTGTGACACTAACTATTAGGTATCTTATGTTAGTGTGACACTAACATAGTCACACTATGTTAGTGTGATCTCTGTGTGTAATGAGTATCATCCAGTTTGTTCAGCAATTTAAAAGTCTTTATGAAATCAGCCCTGTCATGTCAGGCTTGCAGTGTTGTTAATCCTGGCTAGTTCCATGTTAGTTAGATTTGCTGCAGAAAAAAAATGGCAACTGAACCTTAGGATGTCAAATGAACCTCTGATTACAAGGAAAAGAAAGTAGTTATTCCACTGTACAAGTTTATGGTGCATTCCTATCTGGACTACTGTGTCCAAGCATGAAGACCTTGCCTTCAAAAATACATATCTGCTTTGGAGAAAGTTCAAGACAGATTGACAAAATTCATCCAAGAACTAAAGTCATCCAAAATTCAATCAAGAACAGGCACCCGTCCCACCCAGGCAGGCACCCGTCCCACTCGCCTCACCCAGGCAGGCACCCGTCCCACTCGCCTCACCCAGGCAGGCACCCGTCCCACTCACCTCAACCTGACAGACAGACAGACAGACACTTCGTCTCCTCCCCCTTGATAACTTTTTTTTTAACTGTCAAACCGATAATTTTCAGACCTATTTTTTATTTAAGCTTTTCTTCTTCTTTACATAAAATTAAAATAAATATTCTAGTAGTAACTTTTGGTCATATAATTCTTATAGCTGCTTTTATAATTATGACATTAAAGTTATATCGGTATAAAGTTTAGCGTTATGGGCGTGGCATCGTCTTAGTCTGTGGGAGGCGACGCTGACTCTGGCTTCGACCAGCTTATTTATTTAATGTATATGAAAAATTACAATGTTTTCTTTTTGTATAATTCTGCTGTTTAAATAATTAGTACATTCTCGCAGAGCTATTAACAAAACACAGTTCACACACACACACACTATTCAAAACTAACGCTACCTGAATCAATATATATGTATGATACTTATTGTGTAATGTGGGTGTATTAAATGTGTAAAATGGCAACATAGAAAATAATAAATTATGAAGGATATTATATTTTTTGGTTAAGCTCTTATGAAGGGAAGTACCAGAGTACGCGAGACCATCGAATACTGCCCCGCCCACTAAGCTGAGGTCAAATATGAACAGATACGAATTTTTGTGTTGACAACTGGCCAAGCAACTCGCGTAAATCAACAACAACACCTCAGCTGCGAGGAACAAAGTCGGCTTGAGTGCTCTGTGTGTGGGGCGGGGCCGATGCTTGTCACCCTGAGGGACTCCTGGGGCTCCTCAATCATCTGCCTGTCTGTGCGTTTATTGGCCGCGAGGCACATTAGTTTCCGCTGATAATTGACATTAATTTCGCCATTTGGCTTCGCGATTAAGGGGCGCATCTAATCCCACGATCGACGTCGCCCCAAAACATCAACAATAAAGTCGGCTTTTATCTCATAGGCAAAATGGGCGTACGGCTGCTTTATGAGCAGTAGACGCGAAAATAATCGTGAGAGTGCATTCCGGCAAGTATTTCATTCACAATCTATTTGATTAGTTATGAAGCTAAAGTAATTCTATATAGGTAGACGGTGGCGTGAGAAGCTCCTCCATTAGACAGAACCTGACGACTGTCAGTGTGATAGGTAACGTCTCTTAATAGTCTAATATGGATCTCTCCAAGTGCCTTTGAGCTACTTCCAGCAAAATAAACAATAAAATTAAATAATTCGCAAAAGAAAGTGCCAAGCTTGGAAGATATTCAGAATGCCCAGGAGAAAGATGTAAGATAATCAGTGTCTATGGCATCATATTCACCGAGGATTTTATTTAGGGACATGCCACTTGAAGAAATGGTGGGAAAGCAAAGTTTCTGATCATCCTGAAAATCTAGACTTATGAAGAGCTACATAACTAAGTTAAACAGTGTAGTTCTGACATTTAAGATGCAGGTCTCTTGTTTCATTATGTGCCCAGATATATTTGTATGTGAGTGATATGTAATCTAGCTAGGGACATTTCCCACTTCATGTTGCAGTGGCAAGAAGGAAGACCACAGGAATAGGTAAAATTTCATTATATTTAATTTATTATTTGTAATTCTAACCATCTATCTCTCCAACAAATGTGTATTGCATTATGAATAAGGAATTTGCCTCTTAAGAAATGGGCCAGGTATGGACAGCCACTATGGAAACTAAACCAATTCTAGGTCTAGCATTACTGATGCTATGCATTAACATGGGCATTATTATATAAAAAAAAATCAGCCATAAGGCAATAAATTAAGCTCATTGAATTTTAAACAGCTTGATAGTGTTTTCAGGAGGACTGATGATACCTTCCACAAGGTCACTGTTTCCAACCATTCCAAGCTACCATAGACAGTAAATTTAGGATCTTCTAACCAATCCAAGTAATGTAGTATCTCAAATTCAAATTTTTGTTCAGGTAAGAGTACATACATAGATGAAGTTACAAACATAATGTTGGATTTATAGATAGAGCTAGTATATACAATATCTTGCCCAAGGTTGGCAGACCTAATTGTCATCAGTTTTATCACACTGGTACATTTAGAAAAATAAAGATGTTACAAAAAAAAAAAAAAAGATATTGAGCCAACAGAATGGTAGATAGATGGAATCAATTACCCTAGAAGAGTTGTGTATGCATTTATCATTGGATGATTTAAATCTCATTTCGAGAATTCTTACAAAGACTAAGTACACTTAGGTAATTAAAATAACACTTACAGAGTACAGTACTGGTACATACAGTATAATCTTGCTCAAATGGAATGATTAGTTCCAAAGCCTCTAGTGCATTCAGTTTTAAATCGCATCTGGGTATATTTTGTTTTAGACAACAATTATTTTGAGTTGTATTAGTAAAATAATAAAGCTAATGTAATTTTTATGCATATAGCATTTTTATGCTAAAATTCCATTTAAATTTTTTTAATATCAAAATTAAATTTTTTTAATGTTTTCAGCACTGCAAATCCCAATCCACTGAATTATGTAGTTATCCAGACATTTAATGCATTGAATCTGACTAACAAAAGTGTGACCCATACCTTACATCTAATTTTCTGTTAGCCTGGACTCCATTCAAGCAACACAGTACAGTATTCTTCCATCTGTTCATTAAAATTGAGAATTACACTAATTTAAATTCTAAAATTGCTGTTCATGTTTTTGCAGAATCCTTGTACTATTTTGGTATCCAATATAATTTCTTGTTAAAATAACCTTTGTTCTCCCTTATTCAGGATTTTATAAATTCCCCTTTGGTTTATTAAATGTGTATATTTCAGGTCCTTAGGAATTCATCATGCTGACTCTAATTCTCTTGGTTGGATGCACGGCATTACTTATACGCATAGGATATGTATTGTACAAGATTAACTGCTGTAGCCACATGCCTCTTATAGTTGCCAAGAAAACTGTGAAGACTCTAGTAGTCCTTGGCTCAGGTGGTCACACTGGAGAAATGCTCAAGATGATTGCCATGTTAGACCCATTTTGCTACAGGCCAAGAGTTTATGTTGTAGCTGCAACTGATGCTATCAGTTTCAAAAGACTTTCACAAACAGAAGAAAAACTCCAGGTATGTGTAAGAATGCAATGCACAAATTAGGTGTAAATGGAAGTGTTAATATTTCAGTAATTTAAAGGGAAAACTAGTGGGCAAGGTTTACCATGGGCTTAAGGAGGGTAAAGCTCTCAGCTTGCTAACAGGGGTCAAGTGTCTGTTCCTGTAAGCTCCTGTATAAAAATAAGTGGAGTGGGAGGGGATAGGAAAATAAAGATGAGATGGGGGGGAGTTTCCTTCTTTCATTTATGAACGTTGCTTAGTTTGTTGTTTCGCGTCACATCGAGAACTTCACTTGATAGATGAAAGCATAATACTGTACGAGTGCTATTGTAGTTACAGAATGAATATTCTTTGGTTTTCAACTTTACCAAACCCTCGTTTATCTATTATATTTAATAAACCCTTGTTTGAGTCTAGCATAACTAGAAAAAATGAATTGTACAGTTTGCATTAGAATTTTTGTTGACCAGAGCAGCAGTTCCCAATATTGTAAAATATGTTTACTCTACATTTCTCATTAAAAATTATTTTCAACCATTTAGTTTTGTACCTTTTTTTTTTACCGTCATAATTATATATTTAAAATTTTATTATTCCTTTAAAAAAAAAGGTGAATGATGAAGGAGATGACCAGTTTGTGGTAGAGGTTGTGCCACGTACACGGGAGGTGGGGCAGTCATGGGTCTCTACGGCGTACTCTGCAATGTGGGCCCTCATCTTTTGCATCCTGGTGGTAGCCCGCCATCGTCCATCACTGATCCTGACCAACGGGCCAGGGACGTGCGTACCAGTTTGCCTTTCAGCTCTGTTATTTCGCATCCTTGGCATTTGCCAAACACGTGTCGTATTTATTGAAAGCCTCTGCCGTGTGCAATCCCTCTCTCTATCCGGACGCATCTTGTACAGAATAACAGATGACTTCATTGTTCAGTGGCCACAGTTGAAAACAAAATATCCTAGATCAAAGTACATGGGTCGCCTAGTGTGACAGATCTCGAGCAATCTCTGTAATTTTAGTACTAATAAAATATTTGTATAAAATTGTTTGCCATTTTCTCCTCTTGAAATTAATTTACTGAAAGTAACAGGTCTAAGGTTATCCTAAATCATTGTATATCCTGGGAAAAATTAAATATATATTATTATTTCACTGCTGGCATGAGACAGGTGTTATTACTAGGGGTGGCTATTACACTATTTTCAATACACACTGTCACCACTAAAGAAAATACATGATATACAACACTGCATTGTCCAATATAATATCATTGATATATATGGAAAGAGTATGTTATATATATACAGTAATATGTACACATTTTTGTAATATTGTATGTACATTTCAGACTACCAGAGCATCAGATTAGTGAGAATTGTATTCAGGGTAACACTGTAGACCCATTTGCAGGCTACCTTACATTCTTTGCACCATGTCCTGATACACTTCTGTGGTTGCTGCATCACATGCAAACATCACCATCTTCAGCATCCACTTCACACTCATTATGACATGGCATGGCTCATCTGCATGGTTGATACTCTTAGTCGCCATGCTGCTGTTACTACTGTACTTAAACAACTTTTCCTGTAGATTTTTATACTTACATATTCACAATTATCTGGAAGATATTACTATCGCCTCACTTTCATCACTAGCATTTTATATAAAATATGACATATCTTTTCCCTCGATTGCTGGGATGTCGGGTTGTGAAAGGTCCGAGAGCAGATTCTCTCTCAATAGGCTAGTTGGACCTTTATGGACTTTGGGTATAACTACAAATCAGCAAAACTATTTTCCATCAACATGCATGATACTTCTGTAAGCACACCCCGAGTAATATAGCAAAATACACACTAATGCATGTAGCAACCCAGGGATTGCCTAGTAATCAAAGCCATATTCTTTGTCATTACATATGACTAAATTTCCCTTTCCCAATAAAAATATAGATTTAAATTAAGATTATACCAATTCTAGTAATATTATTTTATCTTGCTGGTACAGTACAAAATTTATAAGATTTTAGCAAGGTAGTTGTGCTTGTCATGCAGATAGTATCGTACTTCATTAACTCTTGCCTTCCGACAGCAGCATACCAAAACAAGTTATTAAGGTACATTAGTTCCCCCTTCAGTTTGATCTCCGAGTAGCCCTACTGGTGCAACTCGAGGCACATGTGCATCATTTCCAGTCAGATGTGGCTACTGATACAATCAGTGAGAGCAGCATTATGATTCCCAGTTTGCACATTGGATACTTACAGGCGATCCCTATTAGAGGGCTTGTCTGTAAGTAATTGTCAGGTTTTAGATCCTCCCCTATCTAATGCATTCTGGAAAAATGGCTATGCAACTCACTATATTCTCCTAGTGGTAAATACATACCTCGGGCATAAAGCCTAAGAAAATGGTTCCTTGCCTAGGAATCAAATTTACGATGCAGTCTCTAAGTGGTCTCCTTGAAGACAAGAAGCCAGCGGGTTGTCAAGTAATTATCAAAAGGCAGCACCAAGCCAGGGAGACTATGTAACACCATCAGTGTTGCCAGATATTCAAAAAACGCTAAATATCACTTAGGATGCCAAAACAAAAGCATACGAGGCAGGCCATATCAAAGGTATTGAATTCACCAAGGATTTTGTCGAGTGACTGGCGGGTTGCCAAGATATAATTTTATTTACTTGGATCTTAAATTGCTGCCATGTTTTGGCATTTACAGCTTTGGCAGGTAGGCGGTTCCACGAGTTTATAACCCTACGATTGAAAAATCATCTGTTGTCTGTCCTACATTGACCTTGTTGAGGTAGAAACTATTGCTCCTTACTTGTGTTGCATCTGGCCTTTTGAAGAAGTGGAATGGTTCAATATCCTCCAAATTGTTCATTGGCAATTATTCTTAGTGGTTGTTGCGAGTCCCGGTAGTACAGTTGGGTTCATTTGACTCGACTGGGAAATCTGGGTTTGAATCCTGGGCAGACAGCCTGTCCTCAAACAAATGCCAAAGTCCATTCCATACAACCGCCAAACCCTGTTTATGAATGAAAAAACAAACGACTCAACACAGTGTTGAGATCTGTTTACACAAGACTCGATTGATGATGATCAAGCACCTATCAAACAGTGCTTTGCCGACAACTTGTTCGAACCACAGCGCTTTAAATGCTTTTTTCCCATACTACAAATACAAATAATTGCCAACTGAACCTAAAAACCTAACCTAATCAATGTCTAAATATGCACCGTATGCTAATAACTATTAATTTGAGAAAATTACTATTTTGAACGAACAGCATGTTAAAATTTATGAATGCATCTTTGGGGTCGACCGCTGAATGGAATGGATATAGACTGAGGACAGGTTGGGGCAGGACATAAATGGCTGGGTGCATTTCCTATCACCCATGCACCTGTTCACCTAGCAATAAATAAGTACCCAAGAGTTAGTCAGATTGTTGTTGAGTTCCATCCTGGAGTCAGTAATTCAACCTGGGGAAGAGAGGGGGGGATATAAATATAAGCCTAACATGTATACATACACTGGCTGCCTGTCCCCTTGACAATGAATTATATCTATCCTGCAAACTCGACTCTTTCAGGCACTCGCTTATCATTGGCCATTATACCTTTTCCAGAAATATAAACTTAATGGTTAGAAAATAAAACTTAAGAATGAGAGATGTATATAATGCTATAGTATGTTTGCAGGACAATAAAAGTCCTCAGGAAGACCCCCAGCTGGATATTAGGAATTATGCAAGCACTACTGTCACAAGAGATGGCTTACTGACTGCCATTTTGAGTCCTACTGAAGTCAGATTCACGTCATACGAATCGAGAGATTAGTGTCTTTCATCCAGGATAGCCCCAGAATCTGTTCATGTAATTACCTACGTGTTTTTTTATTTATTTAACTATAAGTGTAGTTACAGGATGAGTTATGCTCATGGTGTCCCATCTTCCCAGCACTGTCATATAACACAGGTGTGTGTAGAATGTAGAATGCAGGTGTGCAAATTTATACAACTTCATGGTATAATTATACCAGTTTTACTTCTAATTGTCCTTACCCAATTTAGTTACCTGTATAAATTGTGTCCGTGCCTGTCTTGCCACCCTTAATGGTAAACCACATTGTTTTCCAGTACAGTATTACCTTTCAAACTGTAAGCTAAATGTTACTTTATGCCAAAAATGTCAATTTGATTTAGATTGCTGTACACCTGTTTAGACCAACCATTATTGTAATGATTTGTAGAAATTGTTACAAATAAAGTTTGCTTCCGATTTCAAGCAAATTATTACTTTGTCAAAACAAGAATTTTAAGCCTTATGAAACAATAACAATGTGTGTGTACTGTACATAACTATTACCATCAGTTAAATATCCATGGACCAACATGCAGCATTTAGAATCTGCAAAAGTTTATACTTTTTCCATGTGAATGCCCATGTTACAAGCAGCATTTGTATTACAGATAGATGTGTAGAAGACAGGATTTAAAAAATGTTTTAATTTTGTTATTTTATTAGTAATGAAATACAGTAATTGAAGAAATTTTGTTAATTCACTTTATCCAAAAGATTTTCCAAAAGGTATCAAGAATTTAGCCTCTGAACTAAGGAAAAAAGGAGTTTTATATTGATTCACTTTAGTATTTTCATGCAATCAGATGGTAGGAGCCAACAGACTAGCAAATCAATAAAGGACATGGCAAGTGTAATGAAAATAATATAAATTACAGTTATCACATTATACTGTAACTGTATAAGCAAATCTACATGTTGACAGTGAAGTAGCATTAAACTTTGCTCTCACCAGAGAGACGCCTTCATGTCTTCATACAGACTAAATGCACAATATCATAGTCCATTCCTTTCTATTTATCTTCATGTGGAATCCTCCCATTGATCAATTTTGTTTCACTTCTATGAATTTTGTACAAATAAATTTTATACAGGAAAATAAGGTATCAAGTCTCCTATTTTTTTTTTGTCAAACTTGTACAGCTGCAGGGAACACCACCCAGAAGCTTGAATAAAAAATGCAAAATAAACCTCAATCTTAAGAGTAATGTTAATGTGCAGTCATTTTAATAAGAGCCATTACAGTGAGAGATCAATAGTTTCCTGAATATCATTCATTGTCCTTAAAGAGTATCCTTAATTAAACTGCTATTGTGTTGGTGCAATTCTATAATGGGTAATAATTACAACAAAAACACCATACAACTGCAATATAGAACAATTAAATTTGTGAACTTGTTAAGTATTGACTAATGAAATTCTAAAGTGTCTTATTCAAAATGACTACGTGAATAGTAATCTATACTGTAGTTTGCAAAATAAGTGTCACAAAAATAAATGATTAAGTTACTCTTCATACAAAACTAAATGACACCCATTTCTGGAAAACAAAACAAAAATTGTATTTGTGTACAAAAGTTAGAAAACTGGCAAGTGGTAAATACCTTAGACAATATGTATACATGAGAAACTTCTTTGCCCAAACTCCTTACAAACCATAACCATCATCCTGTCTTTACCATTGCCTTCCAAACTTGTGAAACTCTTACACGCATCATCTTGCTGAATGTCCTGAACATAGCACGTGCCCGCACACACATGCACGCACACAGACTGTGGCAAATGATTCTTGCCAATACTGTTCAGTACTGACAGGGAGTACTTTATCATCTAGCTGATGATTATGGAAGCCCATAGTTAACAGGATACACAATTAAAAAAACTGTTTAACATAGAAAATTTATCTTATTTGCATATTTTATACCCACATACAGTAATGAATTTACACAACAGCAAATGCATTACTGTATAATAATGACTTCATTACAAATACAGTACTGTACTTAAAATTAGAAATGTTCTGCAGTAATTTTTTTAGTATTAAGACTTTGCCAAGCAATAATATTTCAGAAATATTTCAAATACCTGTACACTGTACAGTATTTATGAACACATTCAAAATATTCTTTCCATTTTGTTATAAATTAGTAATGCACATTCTTCTGAAACTTTGGTAACCAAACAAACCCAAACTAAAACAAAAATGTCCCAAACAAAACTAAAATACAAATTATATACTCTTAAAAAAATAAAGAATTGTAATTAAATCTGTACTGTATTTCTTATTAATTAATGCAATTTAACACTTAAAAACAAATAACTTGGTAACAATAGCAACTTACAAATATTGTGTTAAAGCAGAAATAGTATGCAACACAAATGTGTCTTACACACAGATAGTTTATGTAATTCTATAGGAACATGTTTTGTACTATGTACATCCCTTCCCCACACCTTACAAAAATGCCAATTATACATTTACACCTGCACCAACTGCAGCACTTGTCCAAGTGCTCAGGGCTGCTGCCAACATCATACTAAACAATATGATCTACAATAAGGCATCTTTGAATACACAGTTTGTTGACATTATTTCACACATCGGTACAGTATTAATTTTCAAGATTGATCTGGCTGGTGGTTTCTGAAAAATGTATTTTATGTTGGGTTTATAAAATTACCTGTTAATTATATAAGCCTGAAAGTTAGTTTTCTTCAACCAATGGAATCACGAGTCATAAGAGATCACCTATACAGGACACTCAGCCTTGCAGTCAGGATTGGTGATATCAACCAATGGAATAACCGCTGGTCTACATTTAATTTTTTCCCATGTAATTTCAATCTCTTCATCATCTCCATTGTTTTCATTAGACTTCAAGATGGCGGGTAATTCATTCACATCTTCAAAAATAACAGTACTATTAAGTGAAGAAGATTTGCTTGCATTCAGAATGCAACATTCATCATCATCTTCTGGGAAATTATTTTTTTTAAATGAAGCGCTCTTATTGCTGTCACTGGTCTCTAGTATCTCAATGGCTTGATCATGTGCAATTCCACCCAGCAAGTTGCAGTCCTCAGTATTGATTGCTGGCTCCAAAGATTTTATGTTTTGTTGAGAATTGTGATTTTTATAATTTTTAACATCTTCAGAGTCATGTATGTTACTATGGTGTTGAACTTCGTCACGCTGAACCTCGCCGCGCTGAACCTCGCCGCGCTGATCCTCTCCGTGCTGATCCTCGTCACACTGCATCTCGTCACATTGCTCCTCAGTCTTATTGCACACTGTGTTTTCACCAGACTTCAAGATGGCGGGTAATTCATTCGCATCTTCAAAAATTACAGTACTATTAAGTGAAGGACAAAACAATTTGCGTGAAGTCAGTATACAACATTCATCTTCCTCTTCTGATAAATTATCTTTCTTAAATGAAGTGTTCTTATTACTGTCACTGGTCTCTAGAATCTTAATGGCTTGATCATGTGCAATTCCATCAAGCAATTTACAGTCCTCAGTATTGATTGCCGACTCCAGAGAGTTTGTGCTTTGTTGACAATTTTGACTTTTATCTTGTTTAACATCTTCCGAGTCATGCATGCAACTATGGTGTTGAACCTCATCGCACTGTACCTCAGTCTCATTGAACATAATGGCTGATTCACCATTATCTCTTTCTTGTGAGGCACCATTCTCCCCAAGTGTAATATTTTCACCTCTATCTACCATGTCCAACTTATTACATTTAACGTTACTAATGCCACACTTCGTACCAACTTCTCCATTTTCATCACACTGCTTAATACCAGCCTGCTCAGTCACTATACTACTTGCTTTATCACTTTTATGATTGCAGAGCTCAGTTACATTGGCTCTGCTTTGCAGTGATTTTGGCCAAGTACCACCATTACTAAACCTACTTATTGGGTTTACCCGAATATTGTTTTTAGTGTGTTTTTGTTGAAATTTCAATGCCCTATATTTACTTTGCTGTTCATTTATACAGTTACTGTTTCCAGGGAATGTACAACCTTGGCTCTGCCAGGCACCACCTCCTTGGCCCTGCCAGGCACCTCGTCCTTGGCCCTGCCAGGCACCTCGTCCTTGGCCCTGCCAGGCACCTCGTCCTTGGCCCTTCCAGGCACCTCGTCCTTGGCCCTGCCTAGCACCTCGTCCTTGGCCCTGCCTGGCACCTAGGCCTTGGCCCTGCCTGGCACCTAGGCCTTGGCCCTGCCTGGCACCTAGGCCTTGGCCCTGCCAGGCACCTAGGCCTTGGCCCTGCCAGGCACCTAGGCCTTGGCCCTGCCAGGCACCTAGGCCTTGGCCCAGCCAGGCACCTAGGCCCAGCCAAGCACCTAGGCCTTGGCCCAGCCAGGCACTACCACCTTGGCCCTGCCAGGCACCATCTCCTTGGCCCTGCCAGGCACCATCTCCTTGGCCCTGCCAGGCACCATCTCCTTGGCCCTGCCAGACACCACCATCTCCTTGGCCCTGCCAGCCACCACCTCCTTGGCCCTGCCAAACGCCACCACCTCCTTGGCCCTGCCAAACGCCACCACCTCCTTGGCCCTGCCAAACGCCACCACCACCTTGGTCCTGCCAGCGTAAACTTTGAGAGCCATTGTGCAATGGTCTCCTCGTAGAGACATCTCCCAATGACAACTGTTTTTGGCCTTTTGTCCTATGAAACCATCGCGAGGAGTTGTGATTGTTCCTTTTCCTATCAAAAGTTTGAACCTTATTTTTGCTTCTATTGTGAGGGTCTGATGGCTTGTCTAGTGGGGACCGACACATTCCTGAGGAACTGGGAAAAATCTGCACTTTATTACGAGGCATTACATCAGCCACTCTAGGTTCTAATTCAATTTTAGGTTTATTTGCAATCAAGTTATTACATGATACCGTTTTACTTTCATATGCTTGAAAATTAGTGTGTTTATGTTCAGTTTCAGGATTTTCTGAAGTTGGGAATTCAATAATACTAGTGCAAGGGGCCTCTTTAATATTCTTGGTACATGACACTGTCATTGTGTCATCTCTGGTGCTTAAAATGCTCTCTCTGGGCTTATTTACAGCTGAGGCATTACACAACATTGTTTTGCTTCCATTTGCTTGAAAATTAGTGTGTGCCTGTTCAGTTTCTGGATTTTCTGACACTGGTATATCACTAATTTTAGTGTGAGCATCATCTTTAACATTGTTGGTACATGACATTGAGTCATCTCTGGTGTTTAAACTTATCTTCCTTTGTTTAGAAGGTTGAGTTAATTGTTTGGCTTTTGTTTTCTTCTGTTTTTTGGGGGTTCCTGAGTGTTTGGCTTTAATTTTCACACAATTTAGCATGATGTCTTTTTTTTTATTTTCCTTTGGTTTCTCTGTACATTGTGCACTTAACTCTGTACGTGGCTCTACTTTTATTACATTATACAGAGATATTCTATCTAAACTATTCCTCAAGGATTCACCACAACCTTTCCTTTCATTAGGATGCGCAAACTTTTCTTCCTCATGAAAGAATGGTTCAGTCTTCTCTATTTTCACACATGATGCTTTCCAGGAATGATTTTCATTCTTCATATTTGCAGAAGACTGTATACCGTGACTATAAATTTCCTCATACACCTCATCAAGAAGTTCACGTTTCAGTGCAAATGATTTACACTCCATATTTTGGCTTGACTGAGAAACCTGTGCAACACCCTCACCAACCTCAATGCATTCCAAGTCACACATTTTTACCAAACCAATAATTGATCTTCCAAATTAATTAGAATTACTGCAATTGTTTTACATTAATAAAGAATTGAATAACTTTCAAAATGGATGTACATTAACAGTTTAAATATGCCAATTTAATTCATCTTCAGGCAAATTTAGAATCTAACTACTGTATCTTGTAACTGCATTTTACTACAACTGCATACTTTTCTAAATTGACCACCAGATCTTGTTTGCAACTCCAACACTGAAGAGGCCCATTAATGTACACTAATTCCTGCATAAAAGAAAAAAAAATTACAATGTAAAAAAAATATTGAATTAGTTCTAGTATATTAGTACTGAATATGCAGACTATGAAACTAAACATAATTGCATGTCAACACCATATACAGTACAGTATACTGTATATATATTTTTGCATTATCTGCTAAATCCTGTAGTTCTATTTTTAAGTAGTTGCATCTAGTTTAGAGGTCCTGTAAACCCATATATGGATGCTTATGATAATATAAAATTGTAGTGGGTCCAATTTAAAAGTTCACTACCATCTGATTAAGTTAGATAAAAGGAAAACCTGTGTTGAATGTAATGAAATGTCCCTTGTTGGTTGGGTCTTGAGGCTCGCTGAAAGCTAGCTCGATGAGGTACTGCATTTAGAGGTACAGTATCTTCCCTCAATCAAGTCACAACAGCCTTAGGAATACTGGAGACCAGAACCTGAACCCCTTCTCAGAGGCACAGGGAGCAGATTGTTATGATCACCCTCACTGAATAAATGTCCAGAAAGTAGGTGAAACAGACAACCACAAGGTTCACAGGATGAGAAGCACTGAAACAGCCAAATGACACTGAAAATGATTCACTCAAGCTAGGTCAAACCCCACCCCCTTAGTTATGGCAGGCCATCAACAGGTGGCAACACTAAAAACTGTTTCTGGTGTCCATGTCATCATAACCTCAGTCTGGAGCTGAAATATCACAAACCAATGCACCTGTTGGGGTGGGGGCAGGGAGCCACCGAAGCCCTACCAGAAAGAGGATATTACATTGCAATCAATAGCTGCTTTTCTGGAGGGCCAAACAATGGCTCCCTGAAGGTAACTATCAACAGTAGAAGAAAAACATAGAACTTACCAGGGAGTAGAGTAAAAATGACTCAAAAGATGTCTAGGACATCTTTTGTCAAGGAGAAATGAAAAGACTGGGACACGAAACCTGAACCAGGGCAACACAAGCCTCATGGGGAATGGGGACCTGGGTCACTTGACCAGGTAATGCATTGCCAGGACTTTGTTAAACTTACAAAACACCCAAGCCTGAAAATCAGTCCACGACACGTTAAAAACCACTGAGGACAAAGCTGCAAACTTGCTATCTACCCAAGGATAAACTGCAGGCTGGCTTAACTTGACACTGGACAATCTGAAAGAAAGAATGAGCCTTTGAACCAGGGAACCAAGGAAACCAGGTCAACAGACAGTGTGTCCACTGAAGCAGTGCTGATAGCACGCAGGTAGTGACAAAGTGCCATAACTAAACGCAACAAATGATGCAACCCCCTCCCCCCAACCCTGGTTGGACAAGCCAAGCATCAACAACCAAAGGACCCCACTGAAAGCCAACCATCCCACTCATTAGAAAAGACAATGACTAAATGAATAAACTACCCACCAGGAGCTGAAGAACAGTACCCATACCTCTGGAAGAGAGCATGATGCACCCCCCTACCCCCACCTGATAACCAGAGACAAAAACAGCCTTAAGAACATATCCCAGACCATATGGGCAACTGAAAACTGAGGAGGGGGGGAGGACGTAAAGTCAACAACTTATCGAGAGACCAAGATGGCTCAGGAGTACTGTAGCAAGAGCAGGCCAGAAGTGAAAGAAGGCACACGAATATTTGTAAAATGGCACCGAGGAAACATCAACACCGAATGCAAACAAGAGTGACTCTACCAAGGTTGAATGTTAAGGGACGATGGCCTCAAGACTTAAGATGCTGATCAACAACCAACCATGACAAGAAAGACGATCACCGGAATGGACATAGAGGAAATGCGACAGATAAATAGATGAAAGGAGTACCACGAAACTTTATATTCATGCCACAATGAAAGATGCAGGTGGGATACCAACCTGTACACCACAAATGGGGATAGAATTGCTTCTTTTAGACAAATAGATTGTCAGAGAATGTCAAATCATCAAGATATGCTACCAGGCCAATCTGCTGAAAGAAATGTAGCCACAAAAAAATGTTTGGGGTCTCTGGGACAGAAGAGCCAGAAACCAAAGCTGAACTGGCAACCAAGGTGCCAGAAGGATCATTTGCCCAAGTCTCCAATCTGGATAACACCCAAAGCAATGCCAAGCTGAGGGTAGATAAAAAGGAATTACCCCCCTCACCCTGACCAGTCCAGCCAAAGAGGCATCCACTGTGAGAGCCTTGCAATCAGGGAAAGAGCCACATAGATGGGAAGCTGCCAATTTCACGATGAAGCGAAGAGGTCCACCTTAAGGGGTATCGAACATCTAACAAGAAAGTACATTGGGTTATGGAAGTACATTCACTGGCGATTGTTGCTTTCTTTCAAAGCCACAAACATGCACATCTTTCAGGCAGGTCCTTAAACTAACAATTAAAAAATACGTACATTGTAACAGAACTTCAAGTTAACATAATTACTACACTATAAATTGATAGAACAGATTATACTGATGAAATTGCATATCTTAAATACTAAAATAGGTGATTGAAGCACATGATACATTGTGAGTTGTTAGTACAAGATGGAAACTATGAGGATGAAAGGTGGGTACTTTGTGGTTCTATTTATGCATAAAGCATGGGTTGGACCTTTTTTAGTTCATTAGGGTGCAAGTTCGATATACAGTAATAGGTCCTTTTATTTGCATAGTGTTTGCACAGGTTTAGTCCGACTAGGAATATCAGATATTTATTTCTGGTGTGATGGCCATGGGTTCTATTACAACTTATCAAAAGTGTTTCAAATCAGCCTTAGAATCTAGGAACACAGGTTTTGCAAGTGTAAATAGCACTAGAGAATGTGTGAAGTGAGTGTATATTTAGCATATTTAGGGATTTAAACAGAAGCTGTGTGTTGTCTGAAGTCAGTTTCTTCTAGTACTGATAGGAGATTTTTGCTGGATTGATGGGGTCGAGGTAGTTTGCAGTGGTCGAACCCATGCACAGATACCATACGTCAGATAGGGATAGATTAGTGAGTGGTATAGTGAAAGGAAAACAGTGGGGAATATATCTGATTTGAGAGGAAAACAACAGTTTTTGAGCATTTTATGCTGTGTTGTATGTGAGTATTTAATTTAAATATCTTGTCTATCTGTAGACAAGAAATGCCCTCATTTTTACTATTAATTAATGTTGATATTGTCTATAAAAGATGAATTTGGTTTGGAGATTTGCTTCCAAATAAAATGTAGTTCGTCTTTTGCTATGTTGCCCGAAGCAATGTGCGTATTAGTGGCTTTAGGTATTGTATGTACTTGCTTTATCTATAAATCCAACATTATGTTTGTAACTCATCTATGTATGTACTTTTACCCGAATAAACACTCGATTCATTTGATGTTCAGTGCGAGATGAATGACATTACAGTAGTTGACTTTTTAATTTGTTATTTACATTATTATTTAGTGTGTTGGGGGTTATGCGAGTGTTGTTTAAATCCTAGGGCATCAAAGATGGTTCCCCCCATGTGCTTTTCATGCTCTTGCTTCTCTGAATCTAGTTTCAAAATAGGATAGATTTAGATTTTTTATTCAGGTGAAGGTAAATACATTGAGTTACATACATAATGTTAGATTTAAAGATATAGTACATACAATACTTAAATCCACTAGTACGCATAGCGTTTCGGGCAATCTCTTACCCTTAGTTCATCCCTTACTATACTGGTAAGCATTAATAAGTATTTTAACTAGTTCTTTGGCAACTAAGCCAAACCCATATTTTTTATTTTCATACTTGTTTCTTGTTAATTGCCCTAAGTATGTCATTTGTGAACCAGGGGTTGTTTAAATAGTTCAACAGCTACTTCTTGCTTGACGAGGTCGTCACTGTGAGTGTTGTAAAGACTTAAGGTTTTAGCATTGTTGTTGTTGTTGTTAAAGATTTGCTACCCGGAACAAAAAGTTCCAAGTAGCATGGGCTATGGTGAGCCCGTATTTATCATAGGTTTTAGCGACGAAGATGTGGGTTAATGAAGTGATGTCATGTGTATGACTGACTTCAGATTGCCAGTTGATATTGTCAAGAGCACTTACGAGGGTGACAATTGCTACTTTACTGCGTAGTCTGAAGGTCTAATGTCTTGGAATGCGATGGTGTTACATTCCATGTTTAGAGGTAAGTGTTTTAAGTGTAAAACTCTAAGTCATACTGGCTTACAATGTTTTTATTAACTAAAATTACCACATTTGTATAAACTATCGTTAAGTATACATGTATCGTACTTGTATACCTTCTAAAAGTATACATGTATGATCTGTAGCATGCGTCTCGCAAGAGCAGTATTATATTTGACCTTTGCCAATATAAATGACCAAACATACCTCTGGTAAAGCAGTAAACACACAGGCAAGCAAGTTACACAAGAACTGCACCACGCCTCAAACAACATTTTTCTCCTTTCTGCTGAATAAGTGACAAAGTTTGCATTTTAAGCGGGGCAGCCCATGAGTGTGCGCGCGTGTGAGGGGAGGCAAGAGGAGAGAGCTCTGCGCCAACACGTTAACACAGCACGGCTGCCACACATCAACTGAGCTACCACAAGATTTTTGTACATATATATATATATATAATTGTGTGTATATATATATATATATAATATATAATAATATATAATATATATACACAATTATATATGACAGTGTCAGACCACGGAGGAAAATTGAAACAGGAATTTCCTTAAGTACTTTCGTATATTAATACATCTTCAGAAGGAGTGTAATTTTTAATCACGTGTTTATTTTTCGTGATTTATACACACAATTATATATACATATATATACTGTATACATATATAAATATATATACTGAATATATATATATACATACATAAATGCTTTTTCCACCGTTTCAATATTTGGAATGTTACGTACATTCCAAATATTACATTCATTTTTTTATGTGTGTAAGTGCCTACGCAACAATAATGCATTTTTTTTATATACAAGAAGATGCATTGGGTTGATGTTTTTACATTCTTGTAAAACCACTAACACGCATAGCGTTTCGGCCATTGTATCATTGAGGTAAATTTATTGAATATATCATTAATCACCACCGTATGTACTAATCGATTGTACTTTCTTGTATAATAAATATATAATAAAGTAGCCGAAAAACAGTGACCCCAAGTAGCGAAATTAAAAAATTAGTAGCGCTGGGCTTTTAGAAATTGCCAAACATTTTTTTTTATTAACAAACTTAAGTATACTAGAGAAATGTGCTGCTACCCTCTTCTATATGAAGCATTACAGAGTATAGCAGCCCAATTCCCACCTTGTACCTCGATGTGGCAGCTCTGCCTATCCACAGAGTGCGGCACCCCTGGCGGCTATACCCAAACTAACATCATGGCAAACTAGAGAAAATTTTGCAATTTAGGCGCTAACTTAAGTAATTTTTTAACACGCTAACTATAATTAAAATAATAAAAATCATTCTTTATTTAGTTGTTTTTATTATTAGCAAGTTTAGGTATACACAGAAAGGTGCTGCTACTCTATTCTATATGAAATATTACACAGTGTAGATAAAAAACTAGCTGTTAGTTTATCAAATAATTAATTATTTCAGTGAAACTGGGAAATAATGCACTGTGAAATATTAATTTCACAGTGCATTATTTAAAATGTTAACAGTTTCTATTAATTCACTGTTTTATATAAGAAGAAAGGTAACTGCAGAAGGCCTATTGGCCCATACTAGCAGCTCCTATCTATAACCACCCAATCCCACTCAGATTGTGCAGATATGCACAAAACAACATTTTGTTTCAGCCTGTTCAAAAGGGAAGCAAAGCTGACAGAATAAAAAGTTTTAATGTCAAGAGAGTATCGATCCCAGACTCTGGTCGGGACACGGCTGACATCAACGAGGGACAACTAGCAGCAAACGCCACGATCACTCACCAACTGATCTCTGTGGCAGTAATTTTGTATATAGATGGGTATAGATGTAGACAACTTCTGTCAGCAGGCTTCAAGCTTTTTCCTTCCCGTCATATTATGTGTTGTCCTACTAATATTTCCCTGGAGCACGACCCTCCAATCGATTTACAACCAGCCCAGTTAGCATCATTAGTGAAACCGTGGGAGAGGCACAGGGGGGGCGCTGGTAACGAAACTCTTCTCAGTTCACGTAGATGTAGTGGACGTGACGAATGATATCTGTAGATTATTTTCCTAAGTCTAACTGAACGATTCAACAATTAATATTTTAATTTCAGTCACGGTATGTAATAGCCTGAATTTTGTCATGATGTTTATTAAGTCTCAGCCATATCATGTAACAGCCTCAGCCATATCATGTAACAGCAACTTTAGTTCAGTTCGTGAACTTGTGTTCCTGTAACCTTTTCCACCACCGCTTCACGCATGCTGGATATGGGGTGCATAATAAATGAACTAAACGAAAAAAAATAATGAATAAGCGAACTAAGTTTCTACTTATAATCAATTCTGTATAATCTTTTCTTTGGTCCCATAGGAGGCAACTCCTATATACACTACTTGGGCTAGTATGCAAGATCCAATTTGCCTAACAATCAAGAGTTTTCCAAAAATTATGCCCTCCACAATACATACAGTAATGACTAAGGTCGCCTTGATTGAATGGCAGGGAAGGTAACTATCAGGATTAAGTGCCAAGCCATTTACTCCCTTAATATTAACTTTATAAAAAAAATATAAAAAGGGCACCAGACATGTTGGCATTTTTTCTTGGAGATGTCTTTCAACTTCATCTATATGCTCTTAAATTTAAATTATAATTTTATAATCCTATTCCCTATATTTTAAGTGTGTAGATTTGTTTAACCAATTTAAGCACTTGAAAGTTTGCTAAAAATTTATTTTTAAAGGGATCAGATACATTGAGAACAGTTTTCAAGTGCCACTAAATAGTTCTGTGTATGTATTGTGTGTGGAGAAGACTGCCAAGTACGCCATAGGGAAAGAGCTACAAAAATGGTGGCATACTGCCTAAGTTTTTATTTCTTTTAATGTCTTAAGTCTATAAAATGTCATCATTAACAATATACAAGTGAATATGCAGCTTTTTAAAAGCCATTACAGTGAAAGTACACTCACTGAAAACCTGTACTGCTAAACATGACACCAATTTAAAACCTGGGTCAATGAGAAGCAGCAGCTGGCTGAACTAGTCAGCTTGTTGCACTACTTGTAAATTTCAAAACTAAAAAGCATTAAAATCCCATAAAGGTCTTCTAATGTTACACCATAAAATGTAAACATTATCCTGCAATTGTTTATGGAAAATTGAGCTAGCTGGATTAACAACTCAATTTTAATATTTAACAGTGGAATGGGAACCAAAATATAAATATAAACCAAAATTCACATCACAATTGTATAATAAAAACTAAATTTACCATATTTATTTTTTGATAAAATTTTACAAAACTTTGTTTAGCCTTGCTGCTGCTGGGAAAATGTTTAACTACAGTACTTGTTTATTATAGAGTTCAGGCAAGATAAACAAAATCATATCATGTGGCCAAAAGCTTTATAATTACAAATAAGAAAAATGTCAGTCAAGTCTTGATTATCCGATCACAATGATTTACTGCATTTTACTCATTCCAGCATACAAATGAACACACATTGTACAAAAAACATAGGTATTAAAACACACATGCTGTTAAATAATATTTTACACTGACTGTACATTACAGGTACTGTAGATTAACAAAGACTATTGCATAATGCACCAGCTCTGGAACAATTGACCTCGGATAATCATGACCTGACTAAACCATATATTACTACAGTAAATAAATAAATAACTGCTCAATTATGCTAATTCCTGTTTAACACGAAGGGAATTGTTGTAAAAAAATAGTTAACATACATTTGAATATGTTCAGACACTTACAGTACATTATTAGGCATTGAGAAAAATGGTAACTACTCACTTTTTATTTTGTAAAGTTCCTCTTTATAACACCCAAAGTAAATTTTACACCAGATGCTGCATTCAATTACTCACGAGTACTCGCTATGTAATATCAAGCTCTATGATCATTTCAATGTGCAATTTGTAAAGTGTGGCTTTCATTACGAAAATCATTGAAGCAGGATGGGGGTGAAACCAGCTTTCTGGCTCGCCCCCAAATGCACGCCTTAACCCATTGGACCACAATATGCTCCAATGATTTTTTCACAGAGATATCACACTATTTCCTAGCGTGTTCCTTAATTATATATACTATACAAGTATATACAATTTTGTATAGGACATGTCAGCCAACAGGGCTCACCTGTTTAACATCCACCATTATAAATTCCACAGTAAAGAAAAAATTTATGTTACACTCTTGACAATTCACATAACATTCTGGCCCCAAGAATTGTACACGAAACTTTTAATAGGCATCAATTCATATAGCAAGTGTAAATGGAGCAAATTTACTGTCACCAAGAGTTCCTACGAAGTACCAGTATATAAAACTTGAGTGAAATTGTATGTTTATCAAAACTGATAAAAATTGTATGTTTATCAAAACTGATAAAAAAGTGTGTACAGAAATTTGTAAACTGTTTTTTTAAATCATCAAAAGTAATATGCACATATTGACCCATATGTTGTCCCAAACACAATATCTAATGTTTCCTAAAAAAAATTAAGTCAGCTGCTATGCTTTTTGAATAGAACAAATATTACTTTGACATTGAAGTATTTTTTATTTGAATATTTTTCACAACCCAGCATTATATTATTTAAAAACCATTACATGACTTTTCTAACATTACATTCATAATCAATTATAATTTAGTTTATAAATTATCCATGAACGAGAAACTCTTTGATGTGCACTTTTCAAATACAGTATAGTTGTCTTTAATATATTTCTTTTAACTACCGTATATCCGTGTGTAATAGTTGACACCCTATTTTTCGCCAAAAGATTAGGAATTTTCCATATACCTTGTTGTTGACTCTAGGATTGCACATATAACAAGTCAACATTTGGAGGGTCAGGGTATTATCCTGCACACAGAAATAATACTATTACACAATCTTTATGAATTTAAGGCAAATTTATATTAATTCAAATAGTAAACAGCAGGTCTGGACATTTAGGTTTATATATGTACCTTCGTTACTTTAACCTGCACTATAGCTGCGATGCTCAGTGTTTAGTATACTGTATAATATAATACAGTATTAGTATAATATTATGTGGTATAATACTGTATAATAGCGAGCACTATACAGCTACACATTCAAGGGGTACCTTCACGGCCACACTTCATTATTAAAATGTATGCACAAGTCATGCTGCAAGCTTGCAACGCCTATATTTCCTTATTTTCAAATACAATAAACACATGCATCGTTCATCCTTCTGTTTACATGGTGAGAAACGTGTTTTAGAGACAGCACTGTTGAAATTTTCAAAATAAGGAAATAAGGCAAATAGGATACAAGGATTTATTTCTAAAAGTGTCAGCAATAAAAACCTAATGTTATTCTTGGAGTGATATAAGATAAACTTATTGTCTCACAGGGAAAGCACCACAGACTTGTCCAAGACTTGTAGACCTGTACAAAAGTCCTCTGAACCAATGCACCAGCCACACTCTCTGGCCCACAAAGTCAGTCAATCAACTAAACAGTCACCAGGCAGTGAGAAAGATCAATCTAACCAGTCTTCCAACCAACTAGCCAATTGAGCAACCAGATAGTCAAACCAACCAAGGAGCCACAATTAGAAGAACAAGTCGCTGACTGGGAAATCAGTGTCGTCTGAATGGTAGCACAGTGATTTCTTCATCTGTAAGAATACATGCCAAAGAAAAAAAAAAAGGGAATCAGGGACCTCAAAGTCAGTGCTAGATGATACAATAAGTTTATGAAAAAGATGATTTAATGCTTACAGAAAAAGATTATTCACCATCTACCAGCAGAATTGAATGATAAGGTAATTGAGTACCATCACTTTGTAATCTGAAGTCAGAAGTAAAACTAATACAGATTCTCATGCATCAGCATTATGGACAAAACCCCATGAACTTTGATATATAAGGGAACAGAACAATGGACATGATTGAACCAAAAACAGTTTTGGTTAAGACTACTGGCCATGAAAGGAATTTACTGAAAGTATCATTCACTGTGGTGCTTGGTTGAATGGCAGGAAGGGAACTATCAGGAGAAAATGCCAAGCCATTATGACTAAGTAAGTAATTATCAAAAGAAGGCACCAAGCCGGGAAAACTATGTAGCACCATCAAATGTGCGGAATAATCATAGGGCGCTAAACATCACTTAAAGATACCAATATGAGAACAGAAACGCACAAGGCGAATGATATCAAAAGAATCCGATTCACCAATAATTCTATAGAGAGACAAGTGACCCTGAGGGGCAGTCGGGAAGTAAGACACACGCTCGTCCTGGAAGTCAGGACATTATGACTAAATAGCACTTGGAAGGGGTTAGGATAAGGATTTTGGATGGGATGGGGGAAAGAAATGGTGCCCAATCACTTGGAAGGTCGGGGATTGAACACCGACCTGCATGAAGCGAGACCGTCGCTTTACCATCCAGCCCAGATGGTTGGGTAATGCAGATGGAATAAAGTTAAAGCCTATGGCAATTTTTAAGTGCAAAACTCTGCCCAGACAGAAATATCCAAAAGGCATTGTTTTCCAGATCCATGAAAAAGGGTGGATGAATGGATGAAGATGATTGCAAGAAGTGGATTAAGGAGGTCTGGAATATGTGAACAAATAGACTTAGAAAAGGCAAAAAGCTTACTGGTTTGGGACATGTTCAGATCACACAGTGCAGTGTTACCAATGAAGCTCAAGCTAACAATACTGACAATGTAATGAATACTGGAGAACTTATTACAAGAATGTAAGAATTCTTGTATATACTATATAAATAAATAATACTTATTTTGTAGCATATTGCAGCTACTGGATGTTAGCATCAATAAACCTTTTAAAGGCTTAATAAGAGAGCAATTCCTGCAAAGCAGTGAAAGCCTTAAAAAAAAATGTGTAATTTCTAATGCCTTAGATGATATGGCAGATGACTATTTATGGGAAGATAAAAGTGATGAATGAAATGATTACCCTGAGACTGCAGATAAAGATGATCCATACAAAGAAATACTTGACCCAGAAGACTGGAATGTATTCGGTGGTGCAGGAGACGAAGATTCAATTTGAAAGAATCTAATGGATTTTTATCTATCCCCATAATATTTGTAATATACAACCAGAAGAGTTTTGTGAATATAATTTTTTTTAATGTATATTATTAGCAGTTTCATGTGGTCTGTTTTAAACGAAAGATCAGTATTTTTTGTTTTTACTGCTTCTCTGTTTATTTCATGAATTGTGTGTTGTGATACAAATACAGTAAATAGATGGTGATGTTCAGGCTGAGCTGCACTGGTCTACAACATGGAGATGTTATTGTCATAAATTCAACATTGCCTGGACACTACCAGAATGTACAGTGTAAGAAAGTTATCTCAAAATTCAATTACTGGTATAAAAAACTGAACTTGGGGTGCTGGTATTTACTGATAAACTACAGAACTAAGCTGTATATACAGTGAGTGAATTAACATGACAACAGAAGTTATGGTAAATGTGTACTCTCTACAATAGGCTTTTGATGATCATGCTTTCGAACACCAGTAGGCTACAATAAATTATGACACTAATTTATGTAGCTTATTTTATTTTCTATAGAAATCTGGCTCCCTTTTGTCAATTTTTTGACTCTTACCAAGCATGAATTTCATCCCTCTGAAAACAGTACTGGTTTAATAGTTAACTATTAACTAATTTCAGCTGAAACAACATCTACAAAATGAAGGATATACACAAGGATATACGGTAATTGGAAACTGAAGACTACTAATTTTTGCAACTGCACATTTATAAGCTAAAATGGTTCATATTTTTTTTTTTTACTAAAATATAGTACTCTCTGGTGCATAGGAATTCATTTGCAAAACAACTGGATACTTGAGCCAGGACGCTTTTTCTTGTTAGCTTCCAACTGAGAAAAGAATTCACGTATGTCTTCATCGCGTACCACTTTTTTGTTCTCTGCAAATTTGCGCAGATAGTCTCGTAACGATGAACTTAGTGTGTTGTACTCTGTAATCAAATGATTAAAAGTACACATATTATACAGTACTACAGAAAATTACAGATTAAGTGTATTAGTCTAAATTTAGAAATCAATAATTATCATTTATACTAAGTTTTAAATGGATAATAATTGATGCTATACAGTACATGCTTACCATGAACCATCTCTGTCCTGGTGACACGATCGAGAGAAGATAGGGCTTCCAGCTCTCTTTGTGCTGGAGCAGCACTGTGACTCTGGTGGTGAGACTTTCCACTTTCCTCATAAAATGCCACAGTGTCCTCATCATCAAGCAAGAAAAGAATCCCCTCATTTTTGTACTTAGCCTGGGAAATAGAAATTAGCAAGATGATAATGCAGTCCAGTGCCTCTCGACGGAATTTTCACATTAATACATTATATAACTGAATTAGAACTATAGTGAACATACAATGTCAAAGATTGATGCTGCAATATATTGTCAATGGAGAGCTCCAACATCAGTACAGGCAATTGAGGGATACACAACAAACATTATAGCAGCTTAAATAAACAGGATTAACTTAATAATGAAGAAAATGCAAGACAAAAAATTCAGATGGTGTATCTGATGTATATTTCTTGAAGTTTCGTTCTTTATGAGAACTTGGCATTCTTTAATGGGTTGTTTAGCTTTCATGGTTAGCCAGCCACAAAATTCTATTATATGCTAAAGTTGTTCATTCTTGCCAAGTCTAACAGCAGTACCTTACAATTTTGGTTTGTGCTGATTGGGCTTCTATCATGGTTATATGGATAATAAATACAATTTTATGAAACAGTGTAGAATTTGGTTTTGTGTTGGGCTAATGACCTATTAACCTCTGGAAGGATATTTTAAGGCCACCTCAATAGATTACTGACCAACCAGCAAGTAAACTTTAAGCCAGAATATAATTAGGGACTAGAGTAAGCTCTCGGTGAATAAATCCTGTGAGGAATTATTTGAACAAGGTGTGTATACCCATCTCTGCTGATAGACGTCATTTTTGGAGGAAGAAAGTAATTATCAAAAGAAGGTGCCAAGCCAGGAAGACCATATAGCACCATCTGTGTTGCTAGATATTCAGAAGGCACTGAATATTTCTGAAGCTGCAATATGAGAATGAAGGACATAAGGCGAGCAATATGGATGGTTTTTGGATTCACCAAGGATTCTATCAAGGGACAAATGACACCATTTTCATTAGGAAGCAAGCCACACAATCATCCCGAAAATTGTACCTGCAAGGAGATACACGACTGTGGGACAATGCAACTTTTGGAGGAAGGGCAACGTGTTTTTTGTTGTTGTTGTTAGACGAGGAGTCTATGAGGTAACACGCTACTTTAAAATTTATTTAATGTCACCCGCCCATTAAACTTTTAAATACATATCATATGAAAACCTAGCTTCACTCTTCCCACATACTCTTATTTTGCAGAACAAGTAAATGGCACCTGTTACACTTGTAAATTACTAAGATGGGACACTCTCCAGTGTCCAGGTTGACCTGGTTTCTCTATCTATATGTCTGTCTATGTCTATTGCTGTCTGTATGTGCATGTCTCTCTTGTCTGTCTCTCTATGCCTCTAGTATATAGAAGATGTACAAACTAATCTCTTTCTGAAATCCTCCTCTAAATGTCCTCACAATTTGGAGATGTTTGATACACAGAAGAATCTACACATGAGTAATGTTCAAGACTAAAATATAAGAGACAGACATATAGATCTGTAACTTACCTTGCAAGCTTCACAGGTACAGAGTTGCTTCCTCCACTGATCAGGTAAAAATACAGCACCACTGGGCAATTCTTGTTTTTTAAGAACATCCAGTTTACATCCTAGAATATTGCATACAATGAATATACATTATTTACAAGGCAAAAAGACATAAATTTTAGATTTATTCTTAAGACTCAAGAACTTACTCAGATTTGACCATCACACAATGAACACAGTTCTCCAAGTCAACACAGGTACATAGTGTGTTTTATGATATACTGTATACATTCCTCAGATTTGCATGCATTTAATATTCATACACTTCACGTGAAAAATATCATTTTTGATGTATATAATATGCTGTGATTATCACATGAAAATATCCAGAGTTAAAACTACATAAATGTTAAATGCTAGTGCTGTGTGCATTATTTAAAGTTACAAGTTTACAACTCACCTGACAATTTGTTCTCTACAGCACCATTAACCTTAACGACTTCATCTTTTTCTTTGGGCTCCTCGGTATTTATACTTAATGTTTTCTCTTTCACTTTAAAATCAGTCTCATCCGAACAATCCTCGGTATGCCTCGGTTCTACCTTTTCTTCCTCCTGTTATGAAAGAGCACATACTTTACCGGTATTTTGAAAATTTCACACAGTATATGCATGCAACTTTCTGACAAAGTATGTCCAGGAAAAACTATCAGCAGCCCTAGTTGGAATGAAATGCAAATGCTTATCTCTATAAAATACTGTATGACAAACAGGGTGCCATGCAGAAATATACCTACAATGTAATTTATATAAACAAAATCAATAATAATAATATAAAAAATTGGGTGACTTAACTCCCCCCCTAAAAATATACTGCATATATATCCATTACATATTTTTACATTGTAACTGAATGACTTACGTGTGCAGTCTTTCCAGAAGACTTTTCAACATCAACTGCATCTTTACTATCTTCTGCCTTAACTGTAGTAACTATGAGAAACAAAATATATATTAAAACTTTGATGCATCTTAATATGAATATCTACCATTAAATGATATATATGCAGGTCTTCAAAGCATGCTTCAATGTCATAAAGGAAAGAAGACCACTTACCAGCATAGCCCATATAATAAGCAAGTAACTTGTGTTTGGGAAGGCACTCTCCACAAATCATCTCTGCATAGTCATCACCTGGAGGAACATTACTACCCTGATGCTGTAATAAACACACAATTTTAAAATCACCAAGCAATAAAAATTACCTTTAATACCTTTATAACAGAATTTCCTAAAGAGCAAAATATAACCAAAAAATTAAATACAGTACTGTATTGGTAAATTACAATTATGTTAATGGATCACAAATTGTCATGCCCGAGTTATGATAATATTGTAATAATAATAATAATACTATTTATTTATACATCATATATTTCAATATACTGTACTGTACATTTGAATATGTTACAGTAGAGTATTAGTAGGTTAACAAAATATCAAGACTACTTAGTAATCTAATAATAGAAACTTGGACTACTTTCACTAAGCAAAATTTTTATTTCAACTCATCATATGATGGACAACTTTCCCATAGGTTTGAGAAGTCTGGGCCTGATTCCTAAGCAAATCCATACAGCCCCCTTACTTTACTAAATCTTCAAAAACTTGTATGGCTGGGAAAGTGAGTACAGGTATTGCAACCAGAGATTCACCAAGTCGAGGTTGCACTGTACAGTGTACATTATTCCAAAGGATTCCTTGGTCAGGTTCTTGAACACCATTCTTATGTTTGCTAATCTTGCATATGCAATTGATATTATTCTGTTAATATGTACCATAGGTATTACATTCACCCCCAGGACATTTTCTGTATTTGACTCACTGTAACTTCCTCTCCCATAAACTATATTGCTCTTCTGATAATTTTTCTCCTCTCTCAAGCCTCATTACTTAAAATTTTCATTATTAACTCGATCTTCCTTTCAGGTGGTTAAAAAGTAAGAGTGGGTAGCAAACCAAGTTGAATTGTATTACCACACAGAGAACACACAATTACAATTTACAACAGAACTCCGTTGTAAATTGTAATTGTAATTGTAAACAGTCAACTTCTGAAATCACACAGACAGCGAATAGCTTGAAAGTAGACAGCAACATGATTTATGCAGCCTAAAAGTACAATATACCAAACATGAGTAGTCCACAAGTACAATACACCATTACAATACTAACCCGACCATGGTACCAGTCCTCACAGATGCAACACTGGATCATCTCATCCTCTATGGAGTCTTCAGGGTCTGGGTAAGGGCGATGACAAGTGCAGTAAGCCCCACGAAAGTTATGGTTGTACTCATTTTCCGGATTCTCAGGTAGCTTTTCCTAAAATCAGAGTTTTCATTAAGAATATACATAGCATGAGACAGTAAGCAGGGGTTTCTATTAGACCCCTGCCTACTGATGTGATACTAGATGTGATACCCTGTAATATCCAGACACCCCCCTCCCTCCTCTACATTTTGTCTCAGACAATGTAATACAGTACTATATTACAAAAGATTGTACACAAACGATTGATTGATACAAAATATCGAACAAAAGAAGTTAATCAAATTTTTTAAGTCGTGCACTCCGGCAATTTACATACATCACCCCACTAATGAATTTTTTTTTATTATACAGGTACAGTACATATATTTTCTCTAAAGGCTTCTCTTCAACATAAAAGTATGAGGAAAGAACAGCAAAAATCTTGCCATACTACTGATTTGTAGCATTCACAAAGTCCACTTGTATATACAGTACCTTTTTAAGTTAGTTACGTTAGAATTATTGCACTATGTAAATCTAGAATTTTCTCCAATATTGAAACGAATACTTTCTGCATATTCTTACTTACAATATTCTTACTGCAATATTGTACTGTATTTATAAAACAACAACATTAGTTTATATATAGACAGTTTAATTCTATTTTTACATTCTACAAGAACAGCAATCTTTCTCTTTATATTTGTAACAAAGAGGATCAGTTTTTCAGTAGCTTATTTTAGTTCTGAAGCCACCTATTGAAGGCAGAGGTAACACTTCAAACTGGCTAGACTATGCTGGCCACCACTTCGTAAAATGTACAAATAATACTACAATGTAATATCACATTTCAGCAGTCCAAGGTGGTGCCAGTTTTCTTGTCAAAAGTGAACAACAATACCACTTCAACTGCTTGCTTAACATTATGCAAAATAATTATATAGTAATTATTTGGCATAAATATGTTCAGATACGAGCAGTTTCCAGTCAATATTCTTTTTAGCTATGCAACCCACCTTTTCTGGGCTGTGGTAATGTAGGCAGCTGTGTACAAGCATAACATTAGCAACTGCTAAGTTCAGCAGAGGAAAGGGTGAATACTAGGACAATACATTAGGATAGCCAGATCCTCCAACCCCTGTGGGAGTGATGGTGGTGTCACCTGATGATGGCTTGTGTATGCATTGATCTACTAAGAGTAGTTTGTAGCTTGATAATTACCAGTCATGGTTACTTCAGAGTAACCATGTAAACTAAGTAAAACTACTTTTGCTTCCAAAGCAAGTTTGAGTTGTCATTTATTTCTTTGCAGTACAGCAAGTTCTCTCAAGTGGGGACCTGAGTCCCCCTGTGCTGGTTTTGGAGAGTTGTACTTCCCAAGTTTAGCCCCAGGCAAGTCTAGTTTGATGATGACTGGTTAGGCTGGCTGCTGCTTGCGTCGACGTGCAAGCTCACAGGAGTTAAGACTCCCCATGTGTGTCAGCCAGCGACATGCGACACAGGATCACTCATAATGGTTCCTGTCATGATGGGGATACCTAATAAACTATTGTAAGGCAGCAAGGTATCCCCACCAAGGATGCTATATATAACCTCAAATATAGTCCCAATTTCAATACAGTAAATACTGCAAATGTAAAATTATAAAGTTCAATAAATAATTACAAACAGTAAATAGACAAACCATTGTCAACAAGTGAACAGACCTTTAAAAGTTTGCAGATATTCTGCGTAAACTTGGAGTTTCCACAATCACAACGAAACTTTCTGGAAAATAAAAATAAGTTCTGTAATAAAATATAAGTACCCATACTGTCTTAATACTATATTTGCAATCAATATAATTTATAATGTGAATACCATAAATGACAAGTACTAGTATTCAAAATTATCACATACAGAACAGTAATTTAATATAGTTTTGCTCAAAATCTGTGTGATGAGGTGTTAAATGCTATACTGTATGCAAAACATGAATTATAATTAAGGCTTACACACAAGATACAACACAAGGTTGGATGAAATTTCAATAATGTCACCAGACAAGTTTCAGGGACAAAAACGTATTAGTTACATGGAAAGCTAAACAAATTATACCTTATGTCAATGGAAGAGATGATGTACTGGATACTTATCACCTCATAAATACATAGGGAAATAGAGAGGGCTGACAGGGATTGAGTAAATGGCATTACAAACATGGGAAAAACAGCTGGTAACTATATATAAAGTAGTACCAAAAATTATCTTTCAGTACCAAACTAGTGAGTAATGCATTATAAATTGAAGTGGTGGAGACAGACCCCACATACAGCTTTGTACATAGATTACGAGAACGAAAAAGACTCAATCTTACACAGTGGAACCTTGGTTGCCAAATGCCCTTCTTTACAATTTTTTTTGGTTTACAAGCTCAATTTCTTTGTAAAATTCGACTTGGTATACGAGCTTTGCCTCACTTGGTAAGTTTGATGCACGTATGGGTCGACCGAGCGCATGGTTCCTGGTAGCACAGCGAGAAGTACTTCAGTTTACCAGTGTCTCCCACCTAGTAACAATCGTGCTTGAATTCTTTATGAAAAATTTAATTGTTTATGTGTTTTTTTGGTTTCTGAACATAAAAGTAATTATTACATATCACACCATGGGTTCCAAGAAAGTCAGTGAAAGTTCAACCAAAGAAAATAGTTGTGAGGATGACGACTGAGGAAAAATAAGAGATCATCGTGTCTCAATACGGAAAGGTGTTAAAACGTTGGGAAAAACAAGTGTCTTTACAGATTCTTAGTAGGACAAGCAAGCAGTTAGCCTCAATCAGGTCTTAGTGGTATGCCTGCAAGAGCACAGGAGAGTGTGTGCCGCTGAAATGTCATCACTGTCTGATGTTATAATGGAAGCTTCCAAAAACTAACACCTCTCTCCCTCCCCTCCCTCCTCACCATCTTTCATATGCCAACAACAGTCCACATTAAAGGTAAGATATACAGTGGCGCCATGATTAACGAGTTTAATCCGTTTTGGCACCGAGCTCGTCATGTGAAATAACAACAAAACTGTCGTCGGAGGTGTCCGAGAACCAGCGGGAATGCTCGTTAATCGAGGGAAAGCTCGTCAGTCGAGACATATTGTCTGCAAGTGGCTCGCTCGTTACTCGAAATGCTCATAACTGGAGCCGCTCGTCACTCGAGGTTCCACTGTACTTGTTCATACTGTAGTACAAAATATAACTAGTAGTAGTACTGTATGTATAAAATGTATTTTTAAGCTAATATTTTTGGGGGTGTGGAGTGGATTAATTAATTTTACCTTACGATATTTCTGATTGGAAAATTTGTTTCGGTTTACGAAGCATCTCTGGAAACGGATTAAATTCGTAAATGATGGTACTGTACCACTGTATGTCAGTTTAAGATTGAGAGATTGAACAGATTAACTGAAGCTCAACCCCTGCTCAACCAGACAAGATCTGTGATCTACAAAATGCTGAGGTTTAGATGGTGTAACTATTTTGGAAGTACTGTACCTGTACAGAATCCTTCAGAATATGCACAGAAAGGAGTGAGCTATAATGTACATGCAGTAAATGGTAAAGCAAGTGTACAAATAATCAAGAAAAGACGAATAAAGAAAAATAAGAAGAAAAAGAAATAAAAAAGTAATGGTGCAATAGAAAAAGATGAAAAGGAAAAAAAACAGATTACCTTACCTCTTTGTATAAAGCTCAATTAGATCATGGTCCTCATGGCAATGATAGCTGCAAGCCAAGCACACACCAGCTAACTTGCCACCATCAGCTGGACAGCAAGTCATGCAAGCATACAGTGCTTGCCGTTTGACATATCCCTTGAAAATAAATTATGATAAAAATATTTGATTTGGGATATATATATATACACAGTATTTCATATTACAGTACTATATCGATAAAAATCAATCTTATGGTAATATTATCCAAATCCCTCCAAAATCCAGACCACCAAATATACAATTTAAAAAAAAAAAGATAAAATCTGCCAACTGGATCTCCGTTCTGAAACTTGCATTTGTTTGAGGAAAAATCCTAAATTTCACTTGGGGCCACGAAGAAAGCTGTACAATATTATTGGGTCATCATGTTGAGTAATTTCAGCAGAAATATTTTTCCTATTTGATATTCTTGCTCTTAATAGAAATTATTATTCAAAATAATACACATACACTTGGCAAATGTTTTACTGTGCTTGTTCTATACTACAGTTTAGATCATACAAGAGTTCGTTCATGTGATGCTTTTTCTATGGCATCTAATGCCCTACTGTGAGGGGGCACATGTACTGACAACATGGTTTCCTTGTCAAAGTGTGGGTCAAAGTCAAAAAGTCAAACACTTTTAAAGCTGGATTCACTCACCAGATTCCACAAACAAGAGTTTGCTGAAGTGATGGAATTTAGATTTGCTTAGAATGTTGGGACAGAGTTCAGACTGTTGAACAGTTGCATCATATCATTGGTTAAAATTAAATAATCCTTTAGTGGAATCAGCCCAAAGAACATGAGAAATATTCGGGTATGAATAGGAACTGTTAATATGGCTCAAATCATGTTTCTAATGATTTTCATAGATGGCCACAATATTTGAAGCAGCAGATGGGTCTTGGGAAAGCCATTAAGCACATTTATAACCAAATTCTAGGGTTTATATTTATTTTAAGATTTCTCAATTTTTGTTCACAAATATGGTTCCAATGTCCACTGAAAATGAGGTTTTGAGGCTAGGGCTTGGAAAACATGCTAGATGTGGTTAAATCACTTTATATATAGGTTCTCTTCATAGTTGTCCTTCATGTCTCAGATTGAAATTATAATTTTAATCAGTGAAATCAGCCCAGTGTGTGTGGAAAATATTAGGGTATGAACAGTACTCTGTTACTATGGCTCCAATCATGATTTTATGATTTTCATAGATGGACGCAACATTAGAAGAAACAGTTAGGGTCTTGGGAAAGCCATTGGGCACATACAAAATTATATTCTATGGTTTGTTTTCATTTCAAGATTTCCTGGTTTTCGATCACAAATATGGGCCCCGTTTTCTTCTGAAAATGAGGTTTTGAGGCTAGAGCACGGGAAATATGCTAGATGTGGGGTAAATCTCTTTACAGATAGGTTCTTTTGGTATTGTCCTTACAGGACAGGTTCATATTAAAATTTTGCTCAGTGATATCAGCCCATAAAGCATGGGAAATACTAGTGTATGAATAGTAACTCTGATAATATGCCTTAAATCATGTTTTTAATGGTTTTCATAGATGGACACAGCATTGAAAGAAACAGTTGGGTATTTTATTTATAAATAAAAAAAAATCAGAAATGCTTCCTTGAGGTATTTCCAGTCCTAGCAATCCCCTATCTATGTCGAATTGGGGGTTGGTCCCATATAGTTTGTTGAATCCATGTTGAACTGAACATACGTATTTTTTAAAATAAAGCTACGAAAAAAGTTCCGTCTTCAGTAACAAAGTTTACTGAAGACCCTACCATAAGCATTACTTATGGTAGGGTCTTATAGTGCAGTGGTCTACGTTGTTGGCTCATAACGCAGGGTGCCGGGTTCAATCCCTGGCAGGACAGACGGTTGAACACATTTCTGTAAAACTGATGCCTGTGTCTGTCTAGCAGTAAATAGGTACCAAAGAATTAGGAAACTTGTGGGTTTTATCCCTGGGAAGGTCAGACATTACCATATGGGGATGACAAAACCAACTGGCTTCCTGTCCCTAACAACAACGGGAAGGAGAGGTGAGGTTAATACCAGAATTTCAGAATGCTCCTTGAATTTAGTAATTATTTGGAGGAAATTATGTCAAGTAGATGAAAAACTCCCTTCAGATTTAAATAATTTCAAACTAGCATATAATGCTGAACAAGTCATCGTCACCCTGTGATCCCAGCGGCCGCTCATGTCTCTAAGGTTCCTATATACTGCCACCCACACCTGGCCCTCCATCACTCAACCTGGAGTGCAGTAGTAGTGTATGAAGGGAGTGGAGGAGCTGACGCACCTGGTCGTAGGTGCAGCTGGTGTCGTCGGCGGCGCCCAGCACAGCTGCAGCATCCAGCTGCCTTTCCTCCTGGGCCTCCAGGAGCTCCACCATGGAGATCCCGGGCTCCTCGCCGTCCTCGGCACTAGGGAGGTGGGCCATGGTCGCGGAGGGTGTAGAGGGTGTAGCCACGCGGGTAATATTTGACTGTCACACTCGGCTCCTCACGGGTGGCGCCACTCCTCCTCTGTTGTCCTCGCGTTCCCGTTTTCTTCCTCACCAAACTCTCCAAATTGTAGCCGTGGCGCCCATGGTGGCTCTCCTCTCCCTTCCTCTGGTCTTATTCTCCTCCTCTCCTGGCCACTCTCCCTCTCATGGTCCACCTGCATAGGCCTATAGGCTTGTTTAATGTTCACGGCATGTATATTACCACCCCTGACGCCCTTTGATATGGGCAGTGTTGGCATCTTGATATATATCTGGTATTATCTAGCTTTATCCCCGCAGGTATCAATCAAAATATCAGATGGAATATTAATACAGATGAATAAGTAGTTTCTTCTTGGCATTATATATATCCTAATTTTGAAAAAAAGCCTTGCATAGAAACATAGGAAAAAATAGTTATACAAACTTGATCAATATGGCATCTCGTGGACTACAGGAATTTGAAAAAAAAATTTAAAAGCTAAAGTAATTTGTATCCTTTTCAATTTTACGCAGTTGGGTGAATATAGGTGTAAGATACGTGAGTGTATGAGTGAGTGTGAGTGTGTGAGTGCGTGAGTGTGGGCGCGCGCGGGGGCGGGCACGCCAGGCCGCCCACCAATCACAACAGTCGTCGCCGGCGTCTGCTTCCAGAAGCATTACGCTGTTAAACCCGTCTTTTCCTGACTGAAAATCTCTTGCCTCCCCAAACCGCTGCCAGTCATGGGTTGCGAGGAGGAAGTGCTCAAGATTAAGAAGAAGCTAGACAAGATGACGGCGAGCGAGGGCGTGAGTGGCAGAGGGGAGGGCTGGGGGTTTAGGTTGTGTGAATTGAAGGGTTTTGGAGTGTGTGTGTGGAGGTCACTTGTGGAGCGAGGTGGTGGAGGCTGGCTCCATGTGCCTAGCCTCCACATTAACTTTTAGTCTACGCCACCACCACCTTCCTAAGACGCGTCTCTCGCTACTGATTCAATTAAATAAATGGTGTAGAGGGAATTATAGAGTAGAGGGCAGGCAGGAAGGCGTTCAACAAAGAGAGGGGAGTCATTACTATACACCAGGCATCATGGTAGCCACTAGGCTTACCGTAGGGCAGGTAGGCCTAGCTCCTCACAGGCCTTACACACCATATTATTCCTCCTAGAGCCCACTCACTAGCTTCACCCGTCCTCATTTTTGCACATTTTCATAATTTAGTTTGCTTTATTTTTGACATTGGGCTGCATTATCTTTTAGCTGATTATCTTAGTCATTTTTTATTTTTTTTTTACTCCAATATTATTTATAATTAGGTGTATGTGTATTTATTACTTTTAATAAAAAAATTAACCTTGTGGGCTCAATTGCAACCTATTGGTGGTATGAGTGCACCAAATACAACATTTATCCTAGTTTAAATTAGTAAAAAGTGCTGATACTTTGGCTAAGGTTACATAAATTAGGCTAAACATTTATTTTTATAATAAAGAGAAACTGGGGCCTAGTAGCAGTTCACGAGACACTACTGAGTACTAAACAGTGTTTTTGGCTAAAGACATCGTTGGGTTAAAACATTACATGATCCCATATCCAAATGGCAGGTGGGCCAGAATCACAATAATGCTGCTCTGAACCTGGCAAGTGATCTCTCAGTGAGAGCTTTCTTGAATTTACCTGAAGACCAGCATCTCTAGTGGCTTCAATGGGGATAGTAAGCTAGAGGCTTGTAGACCCCCCCCACTTGTAATTAAGTTATGTGTGTCTTTTTAAAAAGTAGGCTTAGCTGGTTTTGAACCTAGCAACGCCACCTGTGTCACAGGTTTATCATAAAGATAACCGTTTTGTATGTGGATAAACAAACGCCATTGTTTTCTCACCTTTATTGAAATACCGTATCCCATGCAGCTGTAATTTGGCTCAGAACACCTGGGTACAGTTTATTTAGAATTACATTTCTCTCAATTTCATGATACATATATAATAAGATAAATAAAAGGTATTTAATTATGCATAAGGTTATGCTTTAATACGGTTGATGGTACGGTACTTGCCACTCTAATTGGTGAAGGATTCACTGTTATTTGACTCCTGGTAATTTGTTCATGTTGTCTACCATCATACTGGCAAACCAATATTTGCCTATATCCTTTTTAAGTTGAAATTTATGCAATTTATGGCCATTCTTATGAGTTTTTCCTGGTTAGACAATTTCAGGTGTTTATATTCCTTTTTAATGCTTTTCATCCACCTATAGACTTTCAAATTTGTGACCAAATTTGTGATTTGTAATCTGGCAAGCTTATAATTAAAATAAGTTCAATTTCTACGTTATTTTATTATAAATATTATAATCATAATATTATAATTTACAAAAATTATAGCTATACAAAAAAATTCCATGTACTGTACTGTACTATGGTGTATTTCTGAGGGTCGAGCAAAACACGCAACGAGAAAGTAATTTTTAATACATATAAGTTATAAAGTAAATTAAGATGAAGAATGAACAACTATAAGCTAAAGTAACAGTAGTAACTTGTAAACTAAAATAAAGACCCATAGTAAAGTAAGAGTATACTGAAGATAAGAACAGTGCTTCATTCTGTATTTCTCACTGAAATCTGTAATTCCTTTTTATAATTTAGACTACTCATTAGTCAAGCTTTAATAGAAATCTGGATGCTAGTTCACTCTTAATTTCCATAAATTGATTTCCATGTAATCATTATTATTGAACACTGCTTGAGACTTGGCATTGTTCAGGATGCAGTTAGTGTAAGTTTGATTAAAGAATACGCTGTTACTCACTGTTATCTTCCATTGGCAGGATCAGACACAGGCACTAGATATATTGAGGGTACTGCAAGGACTGCCAATCAACTTCCAGGTAGGAGACTTTGATGATTTAACATTTTTAACATTTTGAAGGCTTATAAGTCTGTCGGTCTTCTAGTTACGTTCTGCTCATTTACTTTGTGTTTTATGTTTTAAGCCACTGTCTTTGAAAATAAATGAAGAGTGATATGTATGTGGTATATAGTCTAGGTGTATATTACAATGAGCTTTTGAACTATTGGTTAATGCAGGTGCTCTACACATCCTGGGTTGGTGCCTTCTTTTGATAATTACTTGGTTAGATTGATGAAATAAGTGGGTTTGAATTGGATATATTACAACCTACCTAGTTTTTGTTCCACTCTTGTTTCAATATTGTTGGAAAATATTAATTGCAAGGACATTTGAAAATCATGGCAGTATATATCTTAAGGCACTTGTATACTCTAGTTGTATACAGTACTAACACTAGAAAATATACTGAAAACTCTCTATCAGCATCCTCTTAAATACCTAGACAGTTTTTGGGTTGTCTGAAATGTCTAAAACTCCTCATATTGTTCTCTGAATTATTTGGTTCCAATCAACACGCTTAATGCTCCTTATTATATGGGAGTTGGGGGAATTATCCAATTAAAATGTTTTCTACTCTCATTGTGGCTGGTAATTGGAACAATCCTGTTATTTGTATTAGTAGTGGAGGAAATTTTGTAGTTTTAAAGAGTGAGGCACTAATAAAGAAGTTTAGGGCAACAATGAATTTAATCATGAGCATGGGAGGGCTCCCAATCCTATGTGGTATTCTTCCAAGATGGGTATTTACAAATAAAGGTTGTCTGGGTGCTTTTGGAATCGGTTGCCAATTAGACAAACATTGCAAGGTTAATGCAATATCATCTATTGATAACTGGGAAAACTTTTATGGACAAATAAATGTGTTCTTGGTTACAAGTTAGGTTTTCTAGGGCTGCTTTGTTGATTTTCTCTGTTACTATCTGTGATTCATGGTTTATCTAGGAATAAACTGCTCTATGGTAGAAGTGTGTGTTTATTTAGGGAAAGGAGGAACTAAGGATGTTTGCTAAGGGGTAAGTTGTAAATATGATCTTGCCTGAATTTACTCTACTTCCATTTGCATAGTCACAAATTAGCATAGAGCATCACTTTTGCAACATCTCTTCTAAATTATTCACAATTTTGCATGCAAATTATGCATGAGAGATTAAGTTGGACTAGTCTAGTTATAATCCCTGATTAGGCTTGTCATAACAGGAACCAAAGATGAAATACACTAATTGTAGTGCTCTACCCATGTTGTATATGCATACGTCGATTACGTTGATGAAATTATTGCAGGATAAAAGATAGTTGATCCATCAGTAATCTTGAGGCTTTGTTGGAACCTTGGTAAAACACAAGATATCTATACCATCTTATTAATTTAATGTCCTTAATTCTGTACAGGAAATCTCTTAAATGTTCAGGTGAAAATTTGTAATTGTGCCTAACAGTTTAGACAAAGGCACCACATCATCAAGTTGGCAGATGATGCTTAGATTTATGGTAAAGAAAGAAGTGAAGACTATATTGAGATCTTAAAGAAAGATCTACATGAACTACACAAATGTCCTGAAGATTGGCAAATGCTTTTAAATATACAAAATGCAAGACCTTGCAAGTGAGGCATAACTATACACATCACAACTACCAAATCAACAACTTTACATTGTAGCAGATTGATGAAGAAAAGGATCTTGGAGCCAGTATCTACCTATTACTGAAAGTTGCACAAAAAGTGGGAGCTGCAGTAAAAAAAAAAAAAAAAAAGAAAATGAGCCTTTAGTCAAGCCTATCCTTAATGTAATTTATTCCTAATTATTAAGGTCTAAAATACTGTACTGTATATATTGGTGTCTTCTTTTACAGTTCTTTTTGTTTGCTAAAAGAAAACTGTTAAATACAAAAGTTTGGTTCTTCATTTTTTTTTTAACTGGCATTGTTAAAACATTTATCAAAATACAATAAGATGTATTTTGGGTGTATAATGCTATATTGGTTGGTTTTTAGGAAAAAAATTGTAGTATTGAATCTAAAAAAGGATTTTTAATGTTTCAGGTTTTGTCAAAGACACGTATCGGTATGACTGTGAATGCTCTCCGTAAGGCTTCTACTGACGAAGAAGTAATTTCCACTGCTAAACAGTTGATAAAGAATTGGAAAAAATTTGTTCCTGGTGAGTAACACTATACCAGTAAAGAGGATTTATTTTTTAGAAACTCTTATGAAGCTTTAAATTGATAAGTAAAAAATCCTATTTCAACATGTGTTATTACATGAACTTCAGAGTGAAGTTGAAAAAAGTACATTGATAACTAGTTTTCAGTATACTATTTTAACAACTTCAGTAGTACTATTGATTTTAACTGTACATTGGTTATTTTCAGAGTTCCTTCTGTTCTTCCTGTCTTTGCTGGCCTGTCATGTCACTTTATACTGTTTCTCTACATGACTTTTATAGTCTCTGTATTTTTACCTGAAAATGCTAAATTGCTCCAAACTTGAAGTTGTACAAATGTATTGGTCTATATTATATTTACGAGGTACCTGAAAAGATTATAGCCCTTTATGCCCTAACTGCACAGTCTGGTCCCTGGTTCTAGTCCCACAAAACTACCCAGCCTCTGGACTTGTGCAGGTATACTTGACACCAGGACCAGAATTTGGTATGCTCATAGAGGCGAAGGTAGCATGTGGATCAGAGATCAGTCTCATATGGGTAAAACTGCCTAGAAAATATAGCTAAAGCAAAACAGATTTCTTGGTTAAATATAGAAAAGCAGAAGCAAGGAAAGTGATAATTTGGCCAATGTCAATAAACCAGGTTGTAGTATCCAAGTGCACCACCAGCTGCCAGGTCATGTCATCAGAGTTCATCCTTCCTGCTCGTCTCACTTGCAAACCAGATACCAACCATTCAACTATGAAAGGACTAGCACTGTTTATTATTTTTTCATTACACTTCAAAATTGTGCTTAAACTCTCCATCGTGTGTGTCCTTAGCTGATCAGCATGCCCTGACATTGTTTCAGGGTTATAATTACTATTATCAGAAACAGGAAGTCTGTGTGGTACATACTTAGGGCTTTTATTGAGGTATGCCTCCCCTCCAGGTCGAATTACTGATATTCCTCTGGATGAAAACCACAACAGTTTTCTCCCAGGTATCTGTTCACTGCTAGGTGAACAAAGTCATTAGGTGAAAGGAAATGTGCTCAAACAATGGTTATATTGGTTTGTTTCCTCATTGGTTATCTTCTCTTAGGGGCTTGAATGCCTTCTTTTCTGTGGCTTCTCCAGAGTTATCCCAGTGTCTGGGTTGTGCTTGGGACTTTGTCCTCAAGCAAGACTTCTTGAACAGAATTAAGCCCACTTTGTACTTAACCCTTAAACTGCTCCAGTCATATCAAAGTGATTGGCCCATATGTTCCAATTGCCTGGAAATGATTCAAGGTTCCCCCTTTTTTTTTTTTTTTTTTTAAATAGCCCCACTCAATCTAGAGGGATGTCATTTGACACTAGACCTATGTCAATCATTTGTCATACAGTACATATTTGGAAAAAATCCTGAGCTTCGTTGTTTCCTACAGACTTGTTCTAAATCTGGACCTTAGTCTATTATTTATCTAGTCTATTATTTATCTATTTGGTTAGGGGTTTGTCAATTCAGGTGGCATTAACTATTACTGTCTCTTGACCTGGGCTCCTTATATCCTTGGCTTATTTGTGGTTCCCGAGGCATTGGTGTGGGATTCTCTTGGTTTGATCCCTGTTGCTAGTCTCACTGAGAGACACCTCCACACAGTCACATCAGCCCTAGGAGTTCTTGATAGCCTGTCAGAGACCAAAACCTACCCTACCTCACACAAACACAGGGAGCAGGGTATTCATGATCACTGTCACTGAAGAAACGTACCCCTGGAAAGGAAGTGAAGCAAAACTGAACTGCATGGTTCACAGAAAGTAAACAATACAGTAAACAACTCTGCAAATGATCCACCCAGTAGTTAGGTCATACTCCTTCCTGCCCTAGTTGCATGCAGCTGGCCACCACTAGGTGGCAGCACCATAGGAGTTGCCAAGCTCCCAATGTCAATAATGTTCAGACCTTTGCCTGATATCAGACAAGTCTGACCTGCTCCTTGAGTTGCCAGCTCTTTGTTACCTTAGATAAGTGTTGGCCATCCTTTGAACTGTCCTTTGGGGGGCCCATTTCCTTGTGTATCTTTTCAGTATTTTGCTTTTGCTTTTACATGCATGTTGTTGCCTGTTGTGTAGATTTCAGAAAGTTCATCTCAAGCTGCATGTGCTTAGGGTTGCCTTTCCTTAGACACTTGAGGGTGTTGCCCCTGCCCTGAGAGGGTTACTTTCCTGGTGGGTTCAGGTGTTTGTCCCATAGAGGCCAGCTCACTGTGGTGGGTGTCTTGCCCTGAGTAGTGCATTAGGTATTTGGCTTTTCTGCTAGGTTTTGAGGTTGGGCATTCTGGGGTTATTGTTTAGGGGTGCACTGGGATTTGCGTGCTTGTGCATTTGGCAAGCAGCCGATGCCCTTCGCAGCCACATTTATTCTCTGTTCTGCAATCGGTATCAGTTCATCCGGTGAATGTCCCTTGTGGTCCTGCTTGGTCTTTCAACTCATTGGCCCTGGCAGGCCCTGTGGGTCTTTGGTGTAATTTCTTTGAATCGCCCAGCGAGCCCCCACTTGTTATTTCGTGCTGAGGGATGTCCATCGCTTTTTTGCTTCATGCCGATGGTCATTTGTGCCATCTCGGCTATGCTGCCTGTTGAGTGGATGTTTTCCTCTGCCCCAAGGCCTTTGAAGTTTGGGTTTGCTGTCTATTGTAGCTAGAGCCTCCATCTTTTGGCTTTATTTTTGTAGTGACAAGGCTTAACAGGCAACAGCTGCTTTAGGCTTATTTGTCAGTTTGTATTTTTCAGCTTGGTGTTAGTATGGTTGCCTTGAAGTTGGCCCAATATGGATTTGGAGGTAGAGCAGGTTCTAACTTGACTGGATTTATTATTCCCCCCCCCCCCCTCAATCCATTGTCCTTTTGGCTCAATGGACCTCTTGTGTTCCCTTTCCCTTGCTCAGTGCTCTATTGATGTCTGAGGGTTTCAGAGTCCAGGCTTCAATGAGTTGTGAATGTAGCTTGGCCTTCTCCAGGGATTGCCCTTTCCATGTCTGCAGTGTGGACAGTTGAGGCATTTCTTCTCTCTGGGGTTTCATTTCCTTCTGTTTCTTAGGGGTGTATTTGGCTCTGATCCTTTGTGTGCAGAGATGCCTTCCTGTCTGATCAGGCATGAAACATGGCTCTGCCCCATGTTTTTTTTTTTTATGGGGGGGGGGAGGGCTGGGGAGAATCCCAAGGTGGGACCCTGGGTACACTTTAAAACTATCCTTGTATCTCCTTCCCTCTTTGGGGATTTTTGTTTAGCTTGGGCAGGGGATGTTCTCTATCCTCCATCAATGTTTGAGCTTGGTTCCCCAGTTGTTCTTCCCCATGTGCCTTTTTTTTTTTTGGCACAGTAGGATCCTCAGATGTGTAGTTTAGGTGGTTTGTCATCCCATTTACCACAATGTTCAGTTTTTTGTTTGTTTTCTCTCTCGCCTGGGCAGATCAGACTTTAACTTATTTGACCCTGCCTCTTTTTACTGGGTCTGTTTCAGCCCTAAGGATGCAGTTAAGATACCCTTGCTTCTTCCTGGCTTGCAGACACTCATTTGTTTTCTTGAGGCTTGGACCAGCTTTATCTGTGCCTCTAGGCATTGTTGGCATGAGGTATGCTCCATTCTTGTCAGGTTTTCTTGGGCTGTGCCTTACTTGTACCCTTGGAGCTTTAGTGTTTTTCCAGTCCTGCCCTGTTTTGTGGGCATGTGGCAGCAACTTTTACAGTTGCTTTGTTTCCTGGGTCTTGAGTGCAAAGGTTTATGGGTCCCATGTTCACTTAGTCTTAATTTTCATTTTATGGGCTATGGTTTAGCTTTTCTTTCCCCTGTTCAGTTGTTGCAGCCGAGGTCAGCCAAATCTTTATTGTGTTTGGGGTTCCTCGTTTAATGTGCTTAATGGGAGTGTTTCCCATGGCATGTATTTGTGACAGTGTCATATCCATATTCCTAATTTGCTATTGGCTTCATAGTTACTTTGGACTATAAAGGTCTGACTTGTTTAGCAGAGGTATTCAATTTTAGTGCCACTGGAAATGGTCTCGGTACAGATATGTGATGATGGGGGGGGGGCTTCTTATGCTTTGGGTTTCTTGTCTTGTTATTGTAACCCAACCACTTGGACTGGTCGATACAGTGTGTCGGTTGGCATTCAATCCTAGTAGTCGGCTCTGACTGACTTGGTTCCTTATCCTCACAATTACGTTTTTCTTGTAAATTTCATATGAAGTATGAAGATTTTGCATTTGACTAGGAATTAGATTTTTCTCTATTTACTTTTCAACATTAAATGTTTTAATTTTTATTTAGACAAAAAAGATGACGATGAAAAAGATGGAAAAGAAGAGAAGAAAAAAGAGAAAGAAGATAAGAAGGAATCTAAAAACAACAGTAACAGTAGCAATAGTAGCAACAACAGTAGCAGCAGCAGCAGCAGTGGAAGTTCCAAGCCTGCCAGCTTTCCAACAGCAGCCCCACCTACCACAGATTCTCTGCGCCTTAAGTGCCGAGAAATGATTGCTAATGCCCTCAAATTAGCAGGTGAGCTGTTCTGCATAGACTTGTTTATATTAATATGCCATGAAAAGGCCTTTTAACTTTGGTGGTCTGCTCGTTGGACCGGATAGATATTTTTTCTTGATTTTATATGGGATGACCGACTTTCTTGTTCAGTATCATATACAAGTTGAAGCTCACATTGCGTTCTAATCATTATCTCTCTTATTTCATTATATTCCAATATCTCTTCATGAATGAGAGGAGAGCGTGTGTGCCTTTGGTATATGGGACCCAGATGCGAGTTTTGGTAATTTATACACATTCTGGCACTGGAATCGGTGCTGCAATGGAGGCTCATTTAATTTCTATTTCATCTCTTAATTAAGCAATGGTGTTGTATGTCATGTTCTGGGTCATCCAACAGTGTGATAAGACTTTTAGATCCATGTAGCAGTGTCTTTCTGAAGCTAACCATTCTTTGTATACAGTGCGTCTGCAATGAATTGCGAAAGCTTTTCTAATGTTCCAATACACATTTTTCGTTAGTATACCTTTATTGTGTAAAATCACTGGTCATTGGAGATTACCAATAAAATAAGAAAAACTAGCACCTGTAGTGTTTGATAAAATTAAACCAAGACATTTAAGAAATTTATCCGATGTTAATACTGTACTACAGTATAATAGTTTCTCAAAATCAATTGCACCAACATATTAATATCATTTTAATTCAAGATGGTTCTTAAGAAAGAAGTCACAGAAGATGGTTAGCTGATGGCAGTCCTCTACAATGAGGTTGTAGAGGAATGGTGTGTAAGTGTTAAAAGGAATGTGGGTATAATTTGGATTCTAATAGACTGGAGATGTTTATTTTGGTAAAGTTCCTTTAAAAATAGGTGATGACACTACCTTGTAGAGAAACCTGCTTGAGGTGAAGAATTGTCATCATTCAGTTCTAAATGTTTCCTTTAATATCTTTACATACTTTTTTCTAATTTGGATCATGATGATTCCATTGTTTTCCCTGCCTTCAGAGGCAACATTTTCAGATCCCTTTTTGTATGCAAACACAATTAAAAGATTGTATTCCCTCCTCTTTTTTCCTCTATGTATATGCCTTCATTATTTATCACTACTCTAATTTTCCACTAGGGCTTAGAGATATCAAGTGTCAAGAAAAAAATATATGGACTAGATGGCCAGCTTTGTCTCGTGCTATTATGCTTGCATTTATAATGGCAAGCATAATTTTGTAAGTGTGTTTTGTAATTTCAGTTTGTATTGTAATTTAATTTGATGCTGTGGATGGACGATGCTTTTAAGATTAATACAGTGGGGCCTCGACTTGCGATGATAATCCGTTCCCAGAGACATATCGTAAGTTGAAACGAATTTTCGCATAAGAAATAATGGGAATTGAATTAATCAGTTCCACACACCCCAAAAAATTAACTTCAAAGTAAATTTTATACCTAATTCACCCAAATCTTTAGTACTAAAGTATGTACATGTTATTGCTTACCTTTATTGATGACTTGTTGGCATATGAAAGACTGTGAGGAGGGGGGGAAGAGGAGGAGGAAGAGAGATGTTAGTGTTTGGAAGGGGTGTTCCCTTCCATTATAACATCAGGCAGTGATTGTTCTTTTTTTTTCAAATTTTGTCATATTTTTATTTTTTTATAGAAAGTGGAGCAGCCTGCCTGACATCCACTGAACAAACCTATTTGACATTTTTATTTTTTGTTGTAAATATCAGGCAGTGATGACTTCTCTGGGGTACACTCTCCTATGGTTTGCCTGCATACCATTAGGATCTGGTTGTGGTTCACTGCTTGTTTGTCTCGCTAAAAATTTGTCCTTGAAGATTTGTTTTGCCCTTTGTTTTAACATTTGTCTTTAGTGATGCATCAGTGTCATTGAAAAGATTCAGGCAACGACCTACTGCAGCTTGATTTGGGCGAGTCATTTTGGTAAAAGTTTGCAGTTCTTCCCATGCTGCACACATTATCTTAATAAATGAAGAAAGGACATCCTCTACATCAACAACTCTCATACCATTTTCATGTTTACGAATGAGCTCTTTGTTTTTCCTCGTTGGTCATCCTCACATGTGTTTTCTTAGGTTGAACCTTACTAATGACTTTCTTGGGACCCATGGCACAATATGTAACAATTAGTTTTATGTTCAAAAAAACAAAAAATCGCCAAAATAATGGAATTTCTTACAAGCGTGATCGTCACTAAGCGGGCGGCTATGGTAAACTGAGGCATGTCGGCCCGTGTGACCAGGAACCATGCTCTCGATCGACCTGAACACGTATCAACGAATATCGTTAGTTGACGACACTATTGTAAGTCGAGTCACATTTTTCGACCTAATTTACATCGTAACTCGAAAATATCGTAAGTCTGGGCAATCGTAAGTCGAGGTGTCAATATACATCATTTAGCCCAAAGGGCAAGCAAGTGACACAGCTCCTCACTAAAGAATAGAAGACTGATCAATGATGGTCCCCCCCTTTTTTATGATAAATAACATTACTATATCTGTTTCCTCTAATGTTTTATTCATCTTTGAAAATTGTTAAAATCATGATCAGACCCATATTAGAGAAGTTTTCATACTTGCCAAAATTTTTCTCGTGCTTTATGGGCAAATTTTAGAGCAAAATTTTAATCTTAACTGATCAGATGATGGAAAACTTCCAGGAGAACCTGCATGTAAAGATTTAACCACACCTAGTTAATTTTCAATAGTGTTCCTGATGCACAGTATTGTATTTAGGTCTACCTCCTGTACAGGTGACATTTTCCTCCATATGGGCATATATACCGGGCCCAAACTACTGTATTTTGAACTCCAGATGTCCAAAGTTTAGAATAGAACTTCAGGATGTTAGAGCTATTTAATCAAGGCATTTAGCAGAATACAAATATTGCGGTGTGTTTTTCACCATTTGAAAGTATCCACACATCACAGTAAAAGGGAAAATAATATCCATCCAGACAGTTATTAAAATATTTCTAGCTTTGACACATTTAAATCATAATAAGCATAAGGGCTTCATTACCTGAAATAGAAACCTTCCAGTTGTACTTGTCCAGTATTAAAACGTCTCCTTATATATGTCTTCTTGGGGTATTGAATAAAATTGAAAACCATAAAAGTATCCCCACCAGAAATACCTAATTATTGGAATTTTTTTATCTAACACTTTAGTTTCCTTTCAGCCTGTGTTCTTTTGTTAACAAGTTTATATCATGATACAGTAAAGTTTCAAGCATCCAAGCTTTCCCCCTGGCTTAAATCTCAAAAGTTAGGCAGATTGTGAGTACTATATACAGTTATGCATGTTTACTTTCATTAAAAAAATGGACTAGCAGTAATCTATCATATAATGGCAATTACCTTGCTACAATTCTGGCTGGACTGAACAGGCACACACTTGTGTAAAGCCCTTCCACAGTACTATGTACAATATTGTGTATCAGTTCTGTTGAACAGTTCCACCCTGAAGAAATCTTGGTACCGAACATTTCATGGCTTTAATTTGACACGCTTTTACAGTACTGTAATTATTACATTTTTTTGCAATCGCTTTGGCTATGAAGTGAGCCATGTATATCTAGAGTTAGTATATGTTGATAATGCAAACTTCGGTGTTGTGTAAGATGTTTATGGCTGTTAACACTTAGACAGTGGTTAACATCAATTGTTTATTTACATGGTAATGCAGTTATCATAATCATGAAGATTTTAACATTGTCTGGGTTTTACATATATGATGTAAATATGGATGAAAAAGCGCTCTGTGGATGTAAATAAGGAAAACACATGATAAAATCAGTGAAACCTCAGATGATAAAACAGAAAGCATCGCAGCATAGTCGAGCAACAGGAATTGACAAGTGTCAGACACACAGACTTAGTGCCTCCGCCCAGTGAAATTATAAATATTCACTAATTTTCTAGTTCTTACATTCTACATATTTTATAATGAAAAATTATTTCTAGTAATTTTTTTTTTTTTTTTTTTTTTTTTGCAAAGGTGGGTAGACCATTTCAAGTTCAAGCAATGCTGAAGAAATAGTTAATTTTTGCTCAGAGCAGAGAGAAGAAATAATGTCTTCAAAGCATTCTGGGCACTTCATCATGGTGCATTCAGCTGTATTTCTTAGTGGCAAATATTGTTTTAACACTTTTGCTCAGATGCATGGAGGCAATTGAATGACAATAAAAAGTAGTTCGCTGCAGTGTAAGAATTTTACCATTGAGTGATGCAAGAGGGCTTTGACTGAGACAAGAATCAAAAGTAGAGCCATCACCACAAGATAGAGAAGCAATTACACACTGAAGAGTTTTAATGGGGGAAAAAAAAGGGTAGGGGATAGAACTTAATCCTGTAGCTAACAACAGTGTTGAAGATCACTATTTTTAGTTTTAAAACTAGAGAAGGATCTAACTTGGGAAAGCCAAAGTAGGGTAGTCTAAAGTATAAATAATACTCGACAACAGCCATTCTCAACGGGAGCTATGTCAATCCCTAGGGAGTTCCCTTGAAATAATTGTGGGTCGTACATCCGTACATTAAACACCCGGAATTTCAACGACAACCAGAAGGCAATTTCTGCCTTTGCTCTTGATGTTGGTTAAGTGAGAAAAATTAAACACAAATTACTTAACAATATCTTTACATATGATTAATATTTCTTTCTCTTGAAAATAAATATATATATATATATATATATATATATATATATATATATATATATATATATATATATATATATATATATAATATATAATATATAATATATATATATATATATATATATAATATATATATATAAAATAATAAACTAAGACTAGGATTCATTAGGGATGTCTAGTGACGAATCTAGTGAAACTGCAAGCAAGAGCTGTTATCCTACCTCAGCTCATCTGAAGCCTACACCTAGAAACTCAATTATTTCATGAGAATATACTTTGAAACGAACACATAGGGAACTATCATATAAGGAACCAAATGAAGCCAAGTTGAAACCTACTACTAGAGGCCCATTTATATCATGAGCCTGTTATATGCATCAGTAAGAATAGCCTTTATTCATTAAAAACATTAGGTAACAATCATATAGGGAATACCCATTTCCACTGGGTAATATAAATATTTAACTTTTTTTTTTTCTCCTTAGAAATGCCTGATGGTGTGGTGGATACTCCCGAGAGTCTGGCCGAGAAGGCTGAAGAAGCTATCTTCCAAGAGTTCCGCAATACTGATGCTGCTTATAAGAACCGTTTGCGGTCAAGGGTTTACAACTTAAAAGACTCCAAGAACCCACAATTACGAGAAAATGTTCTAAGAGGCGTTATTTCCCCACAGAGACTTGCAACTATGAGCTCAGAAGTAAGTAGTACTAGTATACATATTTATATATATACAGTATTTTATATATATAAATGTATACAATACCTATATACATGTGTGTGATTGCACACATATATACACAACTGCATTATTGCAGTTGTTTGTCAAAATAGCGTTATAGGCGACCACAATTTTTGGAACTGAAGGAGAGAAAAATGAGTGTTCTGTGTAGTGTAACTATGGAGGTATATTTTTAAGAGGGATCCAGTAGGCTGTTGCCTTGTGGGGGTGAAGACAAGAGATTCCATAGGACTGGTAAAATGTGTGGCTCCACATGATGATTGTCCGATAGTCTCCTCATTTAATTCAGGATAAACAAGGCTGTTACAAAGGGATATTAAGTGTTGAAGATTGGGATCCATTGTGAATTTACTTTGTCTTGCAATAAGTTTTCTGTTTTTTATGGCATTTCATAGACGGGTGTGTTGTTATACCTTGATGCAATTGGTTGTTTGTATTTTAAGAATTCTTAGTCATTAATTAGTGACTAAAATTACAGGAAATGGCTAGTGCTGAAATGAAGGCATTACGGGAGAAATTTACTAAAGAAGCCATCGATGACCATCAACTTGCTGTTGCTCAAGGTACCAAGACAGATCTGCTCAAGTGTGGCAAGTGTGGGCAACGGAACTGCACGTACAACCAGGTACTTTTTCAGCTTTACTTATTGTTCTTTGCTTTTGGGTTAGTTAAATGTAAGTGGTGCTTACTGGTTTTTGCATTTCTAAAATTTACTTTAAAAATCTATTTTTCAGAATATTTATAGACTCATTGCATGTCATAGTTGTTAAGTCTTATACTTTAACACAGTTTTATACTGTATATTTATCACTAAATACTGTATACAGTATTTTTTACATGTGCAAGACTTGATTACTGTATTATCTAAATGCATCATTAAATAAGTTTTCTCAATTTTTTTAAGAACATTAGCTTTCCTTATTACTCGTAATTGGGATATGCCTTGCCTTGATTTATACCCTTCCATCTAGAAGCCAAGTAGAATGCTGAAGAATGAGCCAGTCTTCATATTATAAGCATTGTTGTGTATTTCAGTCAGTATGCCAGCTCAGTTTTGATAATTTTGTATGGTGCTGGAATTAAAACTTCTATTTACTAATAAGCACTTGTGTTTCTGAACAGATGCAGACCAGAAGTTCTGATGAACCTATGACCACATTTGTGTTATGCAATCATTGTGGTAATCGCTGGAAGTTTTGCTGAGCTTCAAGTCACAGGAACCAAATATATATACCCCAAAGGATTTCTTTGTTTTTGTAAAGAACTTGTTAATCATTGGTTGCTCCCAAAACTTAATATATTAGACAATTTGATATTAATATGACCAACCTTTGAATAGCTCTGCTGCATGTAATCTTGTACATGTGGCATGTGGTCTACCTTGAGAGCCTACCGAGCCATTGGAAAATGGCTCGGTAAGGCTCTATTCCACATGCTTATAACTTGATGTTATGGAATACATGCAGTTGAGCATTTCAAGGTAAAAATTACATAAATTGAAGACAAATGTAGAAATAAAAAGTATATAATTTTGTAAATCTTTAAAGTTTACAAACTGTAGACATCACCATCATTATTCATTTTGAATTATTTCATGTCAAATACATCATAATTATTATTATATGTACTAATGTCTTATAAATCACTTCCCTGTTTCCAACCTAGTAATTTACTAATAGAACTTTTCTGCCATGATTATTGATGAATTATGCAAGATTTAGAACCGAGAAAGTCTGCATTATACATTGATAACCCTCTCGACATAGGGAGGGTGCGTGTTATACTGTGTGTGTGGAGAGCAGGTGTATTAACACTACTTTGAGGATATATCAAGTTTTTATTCATCGATTTATATGCCATTGGTAAAGCATATAATGATTAATTTTGTATGGGGTTATGTGATCAAGTTAGGTGATGAGCTGACCACTCGCCATTCTGGATCATGGGTGAAAAGCTATTAAACATCCAGGCGTATTTATCCCATTGAAGGGATTTTGTTACAAGAAAATTGTAGAAATCTTACTAGTTTTATTAAAAAAAAGAAAGTTTTATAAAAAGTTTTATTTTACATTTTGTCCAAAAAATTGTTGACCCAATTTTTCCTATAGTCTTCAAGGCTTGACTATGACAGTTAGTTTCTTTAGATAATCACTTGAGCAATAGTTAATTTTCTTCATACAAAAATATTTTTGCTATCAGCCTCAAAGTTTGAGTTGCATCTAATACTTGCCTGAATGCGAGGTCCATGTATTTTTTTATTTTTTATTAGATGTATATTATTCTGATAGGAAGCTAATTATGAAATGAGACCGACATTTGGATTACATTTTGCAGGTGTATAATTTGATGTTGCTAAAACATATTTAAATGTTAATGATACCAATTTACGTACGAATTACTGGAAAGTTTGGCATTGTACTTTACCATTCCAGAATTGTGAGAGAAAGCTTATATGAAAAGAAATTTTCACCAAGAAGTAACATATTTATTTAAAACATTTCCCTATGCTATATAAATGATAAAACTGTTTTTGGAGTGTGTAACACATTAGACATGCTTTTCATGTTAACAATACTTTTCATTTCAGAATGTAGCATATCTATGCCTATTGTCCTATATTTTTTAAGCTAGAAAAAATGATTTTTTTTTTAAGTCATATTTAAATCTGTACTCATTCATAATATTAAACTTTTTTATGGATATGTAGGACCAAAATTTTTTCTTTTTTTAATATTGGATTATTTCCAATCTTAATGCTTGAACTACTAGGTAATACAGTTTTCATATCCTGAGTACTGTGTTCTTATCAATACAATTGTACCTGTAGATAAATTGTTTTATTTTTCTCTCCAAAAATACATGACTTAAATTCAAGAGAAAACACTACAGTACATGTGGCTATCCACTCACAAATTGAGAACAAATTGTCAGCGTAGGTAGAAATGAGAAAATATCAAATCAAGTGAAATATTTGTATGGCAGCTGCAACACTGTTAGTAATTAGTCTTCCACAGCCTGTTGACCAGCATCCCATTGTTTGCTTAGTCCTTCACGCCTGGTCACTCCACTTTCCTACATTCGTACCTTCTCATAATACACTTACCTTAGTCCATGCATTCTCTGTGGTCACTTATCAAACATTCATCTCAATTTTCTTTTTCTTTTTTTCCCTTCTCTCTCAACAACTTTTCCATCCCACTATTACCTTCTTTCTGCTAAGTTTGCTAGTGTCCTTGAGGATTTGTCTTTTTTTTTAGATACTAAAACTGCTTAGTTCTATAGCTTATAGGAATTTTTTTTTTTCACCTTTTTTGTTTATCTCACTGACTGTGTGTCCCTTCCAGCCAGCCATGCAACAAGTTTAGATAGTCAAATCTTGTTTAAGATTCTCATTATTTTAAGTACAGTATTATATTTTAAGCTTAGAGTTTTTATACTCTCTACATGGACTTTGCTAAATCAGGTGTAAAAGTATTAAGACGTGACTGGTATGACTGGCACGAAATGGTATGACGTGTGTATTTAGGGAATGTGCTTTTTTTTTTTTTTTTTTTTTTTTGGCGTGTGTGCATGTGCGTGCAACAAATTCCCACAATGAGGGCATTATTAGAATCAAGTTGCACTATGACAGAAAGCTTATGATTTAAAATAGGATAGATAAATTACATATTTTACCAAGCTGAGAATGGGAGTGATTTATCAGTGTATGTGCAGGATAATTGTTCTAAAATTTAATAACTCCAAGCAGAATTCATATTAATTGTTTTTTGTTCCAATTTTACATTAAAATTAATCCACTAATTTTACCAAGATTGTTCCAATTGCTCACTTAAGTTATTTAATAAACATAATTCAATAAATTTTTAGTTCTTATAGAGATTAAGATTAACCAATTACATATAAAATAAAATTAATTACTATGAATAACTTGATGTATAGATGTACATAAATATCAGTGGCACCTTAAACACCAACCTTTTGTTATATACTCCAGAAAATTAATTTCCGAGTATTTAGACATCAATTTAACAATTCTAAGCAAATCAAGTTTTGCAAACTAAGAGTGAGAATGAATTCTTTATGTATAATACTGCATTGCCAACAGTTTATGGTTCTGCTCATACAGTGTTCATCACTTCATTATATTGAATAAACATTGTCTAAATAGTTTTTTCTTTCATTATACAGCAATATATATATAACTAATTTGCACGTATTTGTATATCCAAATAAAGGATATATGACCATAAATAGGTGCATAATGTAGAAATGTTTATAAACTAGTCAATTCAGTGGCATCTCGCATTCCTTATATTGGTTTTACCATACTTTCTTCTTGTGATGCCTCTCGCACCTTACGTCATTTATCCAATTTGTTGCGTGAATATGCTAGAGATCATTTATTTCCGAACATATTAATACCAAAATCATGCTATAATCCTTTGAATAGTTTTGCAGACAGGAAGTGAGAATACAAAATTTAAGTTATGCACCACATATAGTTGATGGCAGTGCAAAATACCTTGTGCTCACCTTCAAAATTGATTGAATATTTTAACACTAATATTCCAACCTGTTGGCAAGTACCCGACAAAAAATGATTGGTAATCTTAAGGTCCCACTCAGTGATGCCTAAGATGTCTGTATTTTAGTTTTTCATTTGTTTTTTGGAGGGGCTATAAATTTGGTGTAAAAATTTATAACAGATGAATACTAAACAAATTGCAGTATGATAATAGATTATGGGTGACTACTGAATACATGAATGTTTATGAACAATTCAACATTCCTTTTTTTTTTTTTAATAAATAAATGATACATGATTAGTCTACATTGTTGCAAAAAAAATATATATATATATATTTTATATATATAAAATATATATACTTTCTGGAAAAGTATGAAAGTAAAGCACAAAAATATTGTGAAAATACCAGCAGAGCAATCAATGTCTTGGACGATAAGTGGTTGGCAGAGGTGATCTCTGGATGTTTCTTTGATTAGTATCCTGGTAAGCTGTGCCTACACTGCTCAAAAAAAAAAAATATATATTTGGGAAATTTGTGATGGATGATGCAATTTAGGTCACCTGGAACAGATAACGGGTTTACCATCGTCAGATCACTTAAATATAAAAGAATTAAATTTGTTCTTCATGTTAATTTAATATTTTTTGCACATATTTTCATTAAAAATACCTGTGACCATAAATAAATACAAATTTATTTAATTATTTGTAAACACAGCAGCGCCTCAAACATAACGTTGTGCCTATACTCGAAAGGACATAAATTTCTAAACATTTTGAATCCAAAATCAATGTTCTGACCCTATAAATAGACTTGCATAAAAGAAATGAATGCCAGTATAAACATTTCATGTATCAAGTGAGAATGAACTCCATCCCTGGAAAGCAAAAAAAAAAAAAAAAGTGTTCAAAAGAATGAGGTAGAAAACATTTACCAATGCTTGTGCTGTGTAAAGGCTGACCCCGAACTACAGATGTCGCTGCCAGAGGCTGCAAGTGCTGTGCAAGGAGGAGTGAGAGAGGATAAATGGAGCTATCTTGTGAATGCAGCCATTAATAACCAGCACCAGCATGTGTGGAGCATGTCTGCTTATATGCTAAGTTTGCTGAGAAAAACAGGTAGGATAATTGATAGCATTTGGTTAACCCTCTTTCCTTCCCTATCCCAGCACATTACACACACACTAATAGGTAGCAAGTCGACAAAAATTATTCCCAATAGCAGTCGACATTTTGAAACAGAATACATTCGTTTAGTTTTACAAAGTACTGTACAAAAAGTACTTTACAGTACTTTGTAAAAATAAGTGAATGCATTCTGTTTCATAATGTCGACTGCTTTTGTTACTACAAAACATAAAAGGGAAGGTGATGTCCTGTGTAAACTTTTTTTTCTAATTTTGTAAGTACTGTACTGTATTATAGATTACATGACTCCCAAAATGACTTCTGAATTAATTTGCTATTCAATTTTGTACTGTAATTCAACACTGAAATATCATTGTTGTGTTGTCAATTCAGTATTTCTTTTTGGGTATTTTTTCTTCATAAAAAATATTTAAATGATTTACTTGGCTATGAAATGCACTTTAGATATTCATTATAAATTTGCTTTGAAACAAATATCACTTGCCTAGAGAATACAACAAATAAAAGAGTAAAGTATATTCTCAGCTTTGTAATCATTAGTTAAAAGCTACATATATTATGTTGTGAGCGCTGTGATGTAATGGTCAACATGCCTATCTCTTGGGAAAATGACTGGATGGTAACATTTGCAGACGATGATCTGGGGAATAAAAATGTACCGAACAACGTAACTAGTTCTGGCCCCGTGCTTAAATCCCAGCATGATATGTTCATCTCTGCACCAGCAGGGGTGAACATCCTCACCCTCTTGTTATGGCAGGGGTGAACAACTTCTTGAGCTGATAGTTAAGGCCTGTTGAATGGTGTGAATAGAGTACACACATCTATTGTGAAGGGCCCCTGATCTAGTATGAGGGCCAACTTATCCAGTGGTGCTCAATGACCTAAGTACAGTATAGGGCTTGGCAAGGGCCTAAATTTGGGTTATAAATTTAAACCGTTCAGAACATGCAGGTCTCCTCAACCTAGGAAAAGGCTGTTTGAATGTGTAGTACACAGTTTTGGCCTTTCTTCATTAAATGCCTAGATAATGTTTATTTCACTTATTTTTTATTTTTTTAATATTTAATATATTTTAAATTAAACAAAATAGATGCACAAAACTACATAAAACAGTTTGGTGTTCTGCTGCTAATGTATTTTTTTATACTTTACAATTCAGTGCTTGGCAGGAATTAGGATACTCACAAATTTTAATGTTTTTATAGTCAAGAATTACAAAATGATATGATGTTGTACAGTACTGTATTGAACTTACACTGTTGGCACATAAAATGTAAATACTGTATTTGAAGTTTGACAATTACTGCAATCACACTTTTAGAGGTTAACGTTGTCAAAGTAAGCCGACTGTTCCTTACTTAGTAGCTTAGCAATTATTCTTGAATTTGCCCTAAATCTGGATTCTTTTAATTGGTATTTCATTGGTTCTAATAATATTCCCTATAGCTTTTCTAATGAGATGTTTTCCTGACCCAATAACTGTCTCAATTCTCTTTCGTTTAAAGGTCCTGTTGTATAGTTCTCTAACAACTATTCCTTCACCTCTCATTTCTTTAGGTTATGATGATTTAATACCTTGATAACTGGGGCCCCAACCTCCTTCGAATAAGGCCTGGTTGACTCGCTGGCTTAAAAGTTTATCCTGATGCGCCACCATCATAGCTTTTCCAGATTCTTTCCGTCATTTAGGACGTGAGGACTAACTGCCATAATAATAACTTAATTTGCCACTATTACATGTTTACTTGAATGCTTCTTTTGTAAGTAGGTCATTATGGTTTTACCGTAACAGCTTGCCTTGATCCACAACAATTACCTCTCCCTGGATCCTATCATTATGCTTATGCCAGGATTGCTAACTGTCCAGATAATTAGCTCTGACTTTATGCATCTACAAGCTGATGTTACAAACAGGTTGACTGTAAATTTGTTTTTCCCTGACAGGCTGTTGAGAATGCTCAAGGAATAGACAGGGGAGAAAATGAAGATCAGGTGCAACACTGCCTGTGCCAGGAGCAGCACAGTGTTCTCTGCGATCCCATCACTTACCAACGGCATCACCAGGTGAACCTTTAATACAGTGCAATTTGTCAAGTGTGCACTTTAGACAGCTGGTTGATTGTTGTAAATTTATTGCATATTCTGTACTGTTTTTAACATACTAAATCTAAATATTTAACTGTTATCTTATATGACAGGAACTGGCTAGTGCTGAGATGAAGACTCTACGTGAGAATTTCACACAGGAAGCCATTGAAATTCATCAGCTAGCTGTTGCTCAAGATACTAAAACAGATTTGCTCAAATGTGGAGAATGTGGACAGCGAGACTGCACTTACAGCCAGGTAGTTGTCATTTTTTACATCTATTCCTCTGGTTTACTGTACTGTAAATCTATTTATTGTAAGTGATGTTCACATTTTTTCAAGTTTTAAAAGATTTCTTCATAGAAAATTACTAGAATTTTATTGTCATGAAATCATTGATAACAGGAGAGACTTTTTGTTCTTGAGGACGTAAGCAATTTATATTGATCTAAAGGTACGTTTAAAGGACACAGCTTATCCAACTTTTAAATAACACCTTAGCTTTCCTTATTACTCTTCTTCTTGTCTACTGTCCCTTGACTTGTATACATCCATTTAGAAATCTAAAAGAATGCTGAAGAATAAAGGAAAAAAGTCAGGATACCAGCTAAATTTTCATAATTTTGTGTTATATAGGATTCACAGACTTCTGTCAACTAATAAGCACTTGGATCTCTAAACAGATGCAGTCCAAAAGTTCTGATGAACCTATTACGACGTCTGTCTTGTGCAATCATTGTGGTAAACGTTGGAAGTTCTGCTGAGCTATGAGTCAAAAGGCACCAAATATGCCCCAAAGGATTTCTTTGTTTTTGTAATGAACTTGGAAATTTTTTGCTGCTCCAAAAACTAAATGAAATATAAGATTTGGCATTAACATCTTCAACCCTGTGCAGATAAAGCATGAATCATGACCATCTTCAACCCTTAGAAAAGGTACTTAATGCATGTGATCATATATGTACCATTACTTGTTATGTGTGACTTACTGAACTGCTTAAAAAGTGGCTCAGCAAAGCTCACATTTGTAATGTTTCTGACTTATAATGTTTCAAAATCCATGTTGTTGAGTATTCCAAGGTTGCAAAGAAGTGAATTCTTTGATAACAAAAATATGTAGGCATCATTTAACTACAGTAATTTTGAATTATTTCATGTTAAGTATTGAACAATAGAATAGTTATCATTTACACTGCGTAATATGACTTATGAATACCTTCTCTGTATCCCAGCATTGTAATTCACAAATGAAACTTCATCACATTATGTACTGTGTTATATTAGATAAGACTTTGAACTTTTAAGATTCTGCATTATATTCCAGTGTTGGCTGACAACTAATTTTAGTACTGTACAGGGCGATGCATGACTATGCAATGAGCTGGTTTTTTCAACATTTCACTTGGAAAAATATATAGCTTTACATTCCTACATTTATTGTCATTAGGACATATGATTACAAATACAGTGTATTTGTATAGTGTTACGTGACTGTAAAGTTCTTTTATGTTCCAATAACATTCATTCCTTTGATGAGATTTTGTGTAAATACAATACACTGTTTGATTACGTTGTGTTGTATCCTGGATTTGAATTTACCAGGTAGTATTCTGAAGTGACGACCAATTCCACATGGATTATCGTTTTCAAAATACATAATTTTATGTCAATGTGTAGTAGCTCACCAAAATCTGACTAGTTATTTATTTATTGTAATAACTTGCATGAGTTCCATACTTAGAGTCTAGTCTTGTACATTACAATTCCAGAATAGTTATAAAAAAAATTGTATAAAACATACCACTAAGCAACTCATTGCCCCATACTCTAATATATAATTCTTTATATAATATATATTATATATATATTTATATTATTATTTTATATTATATAATATATAATTATTTATAATATCTAAACAATAAGACATTTAATTGCTATGCAGTGTGTATCATGTATGACATACTATCCATATTAATAATACTTTTAATTTCAAAATGTTGCATATGTCTCTGTACAATATATATACAGTACTGTATATTTTTTTCATTAACTCTCTGGCTGCATAGTTAGATGTCTGAAATGTGAATAATTACAAAAGTTGCACTTTGAATATTTGAGTTGATGGAAGCTATTTCCAGGAAAAGCTTGATTATCATCAGGTGGGAGTCATGTTTTATTTGACTGAAGAAAATTAATCCACCCAAGAGCTGTTTTAATTATATATATATATATATATATATATATATATATATATATATATATATATATATATATATATATATATATATATATATATATATATATATATACACACACACATACATACATACATACATACATACATACATACATACAAGAGTTCTTACATTCTTGTAGAGCCACTGGTAAGCACAGCGTTTCGGGCAGATCCTTAATCCTAAATTTTTTCCCGGAATATGACCCACTAAATGGTGTTCCCCCGAATACAACCTGCCGAAATAGCATGTATAGGTAATGTACATTTCCTAAACATGATGAATGACTACTGTATGTACTTGATTTGGGCCCTTTATTTGGAAGGCAGACTGTATACATAACTACTGCCAATCACCATACACCTCTATGCATACCAGTATCTAAAATATATATGAACACTTTATTTAACTAGTTATTAATCATCATGAATCATTCACAACCAGGCTCGACTGCTCCAGTCTCAAGCTCCAATTCTCAGGGATGTAACCCAATGCATTAATACAGTAAAAACAACTGTTATGAATTTGGCGACATTCGTCAACTGTCACAGCCAAAGAGTTAAAATAAGGCCATATTTAAATTTGTATTTATTCAAAATCCAGTATACAATTTTTTATTAATAAGTCAGACCAATTTTGTTATTTTTTTAGTGTGAATATTTTCAATCCCAATGCTTAGCCTAATGGGTAATACAGGTTTAATACTCAGAGTACTGTATTCTTATCAATACAATTGTACCTGTAGGTATATTATTTGATTTTCTCTTCAAAAATACTGTACATGATTGTTAAATAAAAGAAAAGACACTACTGTACCTGTGGCCACTCACTGATGAGCGGTTCTTGGGGAACAAGTTGTCAAAAAGATGTAAACTGTTGAACCACAACACAAAGTGTAAACTGTTGAACCACAACACAAAGTGTAAACTGTTGAACCACAACACAAAGTGTAAACTGTTGAACCACAACACAAAGTGTAAACTGTTGAACCACAACACAAAGTGTAAACTGTTGAACCACAACACAAAGTGTAAACTGTTGAACCACAACACAAAGTGTAAACTGTTGAACCACAACACAGTGTAAACTGTTGAACCACAACACAAAGTGTAAACTGTTGAACCACAACACAAAGTATAAACTGTTGAAACCCACAGCACAAAGTGTAAACTATTGAACCACAACACAAAGTATAAACTGTTGAAACCCACAGCACAAAGTGTAAACTGTTGAACCACAGCACAAAGTGGTGACAAAGATGCAGAGAAACAACACATTAAAAGTAGACTTTACTTGTAGGTAATGTTTCACTTGTAAGGGCTATGTCAAATCTAATACACAGGGTTAATGCTTATATATGGAGCAAATGTGGAGGGCAGGAAGGTGGAGGTAGAGCGGTGAAGATGGAGGCAGGGAGGTGTAGGTGGAGGCAGGGAGGTGTAGGTGGAGGCAGGGAGGTGTAGGTGGAGGCAGGGAGGTGTAGGTGGAGACAGGGAGGTGTAGGTGGAGGCAGGGAGGTGTAGGTGGAGACAGGGAGGTGTAGGTGGAGACAGGGAGGTGTAGGTGGAAACAGGGAGGTGTAGGTGGAGGCAGGGAGGTGTAGGTGGAGACAGGGAGGTGTAGGTGGAGACAGGGAGGTGTAGGTGAAGGTTGAGGCAGGGAGGTGAAGGTGGAGGCAGGGAGGTGAAGGTGGAGGCAGGGAGGTGAAGGTGGAGGCAGGGATCGGTAATTACCAGAATGTGCCAAGTTAGTATGACTATACAGTATAGTACAGGAGGAAGGGAGGTGAGAAAGTAAGCAATAAATTGTATTTTATTAGAGAACAATTTTAGCCAGCAAAATAGCATTGTTTTATTTTCCTTGATTTTTGTTTCATTGTGTTGTAGTGTTTGATGGGTGCAAATTCTATACTCAGGTTTGTCTTGCTTTTACCTTTGATGTTGATGTGTTTTGTATCACTGAAGTTCATAAGGTGTTACAGCTGGTTCTTAAGTGTGATGCAATCACTACAAGTGTTATACACACACACATCTTGAGGTTATCTCAAGATAACCTCAAGATAACACACACACCACACCTATACAGTACTTATATTTGTAAATTATAACATTTAGTTTCTGGGTGTCTTACCCAAGTGTTGCATAGATAAAAAAAAAATGCTTACATCACTATTTAACAGAATCATATAAAAATTCAGCTATACTATCCCACTGGCTAAAAATATACTTTAATAAAATTCATTTTATAACTTCTGGTTTTCCTAACCCTCACTGCACCTTCACCTTCCTGACCTCACCTCTCCCCTCCTCTTCCCTTTACAAGCACTAATTCTATGTATCTGTTATATTTATAAAGTCAGCTAGCTTTTCCCCAATATCAAATATATAAGGAGAAAGATAAAATTGAAATATCTGTTAAATGCTGACCACTGTCAGTAAATCAAAAAGCTTACAACAGACTTGCGGACCAACCCATACATTTTGCTCGTCCTTTGCCCCTATACACATTCCTGGACACTCCACTGATTCTCTCCCCATACTTATCTTGACCTTTCTCCTATATATTCTTCATACTGTCTTGGCATTAAACATTTTCAGGTGACTAAACTGATCCAAAGCATTTCTCTTGTAATAACTTTTCTGTTCCTTTGTCTATACACCACATTTGTGTGTCTGTCTAAGTACTGAATTTGCGTGTCCCCCCCTTGTCTATACACTGTATTGTGTCCATTTGATTATGTACCAAATTTGTGTCCCTTAGTTTATGTATCGAATTTGTGTCCTTTTTGTCCATATACAGTACCAGGTTTGTGTGTGTCTCTTTGTATATACATTACAGTATATTGAATTTGTCTGTCCCTTTGTCTATATACCTTTGTGTTCCTTTGTCTATATACCTTATTTGTACAAAAATAAGCCTCTCTTAGTTCATGGTTCTTAGCTCTTAGTTCAAAAATAAGTCTCATGGACAAGATCTTGAAAGGGGGAATAGATAAACTGGATAAAGAAGCATATTTAAATTAAAATGTGGTAGAACGAGGGCACATCGATGAAGGCTAGACTTACACATGAGTCACTACAAGTTCTCGTCCTTGTAAACAACCTTAAAGGTAGACAAGGAGTCTGACCCCTTCAGCCAAGCCAACTAGGCCTGGAGCTGTGAAAAATTTCAGAGAAAAATAGAGCCAAAATATTCCCAGACCCTTGGACCCCTTGGATCTTCACGTCTCGAAGGGAATCCCTTCATCAGTTACGCAAGCATATTCTTTCACAGTCTTCGGCGGCTTAGTTTACATAAAATAGACAGTTTATGAGCGCCGGAACACCAGAGGGTTGTTTATAAGAATAATAACATGTGATTGGCAAGTTCCCATGCTCGTAAACTCTTTAACAAAGGTAAACAAAGCCGCCAAATATTGAGAATTCGTAAGTACAGTACTTGCATAAATGGGAGTTGAATCCTGGCTCTCGATTTTGTTATAATAGGCATAATAATATTAATAATTAAAAAAAAATGTACAGAACATGATGCAGTGCTTAATTAATAAGTACTGAAAATATTTACTGAATCAAGTCCCTAATACGCTAAGCATTTTGGGGTGGACTAGTTGCCGTATGTCTTGTATAGTTATGTATGGAATATATATTGAGAGAGAATGGTGCAGGAAACATATAATTGTTTAAGAGAAAACAAAAGTGTAAAGGCTGAGCCCAAACTGCACACAGGTGCGGCAAGGAATGAGAGGGAACCGAGACGTCAGTTGTGTGTACAGTTAATGCAGCTCCAACATTTCCAGCCCAACAGCATGTCTTGGGTTGGCTGTGTGTTGCAGGAGAAGACTAGGCACGCGGGCCATGTTTTTCGTCCACCAAGCTGCCCCAACACATGAGGCAGGTGCTTCTCCTGCCCTACACATGAGGTAGGTCTTCCTCCCGCCCTACACATGAGGCAGGTGCTTCTCCCGCCCTACACATGAGGCAGGGGCTTCTCTTGCCCTACACATGAGGTAAGTGCTTCTCCCGCCCTACACATGAGGCAGGGGCTTCTCCCGCCCTACACATGAGGCAGGGGCTTCTCCCGCCCTACACATGAGGTAAGTGCTTCTCCCGCCCTACACATGAGGCAGGGGCTTCTCCCGCCCTACACATGAGGTAAGTGCTTCTCCCGCCCTATCTGACGCTTCAGCAGATAATCAGGGCTATTATAAGCCCTAATCAGATGGTTAGGGCTTCGTTTTATGTATTTGATTGTCGTATGGTTTGATTTTCATGTCTAGGTCAAATGTGACTTAATTTTTGGTTGAGTGGGGATAATTAGCCAGTGCTTTTGGCAGTTAATATATTTTCCCCATTTTGAGCGTGAAAATAACTTGTTTAACGCATACGGGCGAAAAGAGGGCTGATTCTTGTGGTTTATCAGACTGAGCGCACGAAGCTGAGCTCAGCTGATTCACGAAGCAGCTTACGAATGTTTTTCTTCTTAGCGGCTACGTCGGTAGGAGTTTGGCCCGAGAGGTTCTTAGTCTTAGTTCCGGTGGTTGAAGTTTTAATGCATTGTGTCGGGGACAGGCAGCCAGTATATACATATAGTTTATGATTATATACTATCATATGTGTGCGACAGCTTACATATGATAGTATATTACCTACCGTATCAACCTATCCTGGCTTTGCGCCCTGGTGAGGCCACTCCAGACCGACAACCAGAGCGCAACTCCATAGTCTCCTAAGACTGATGATGATGATGATGATGATAAAGATTAAGCCATCCAAAAGGTGGCACGGGCATGAATAACCCGTAAGTGGTGGCCCTTTTGAGCCATTACCAGTATCAAGAGCTGATACTGGAGATCTGTGGAGGTGCGACTGCACCCTGCGTGACGGGAGATATCTCCCGTGACATACACCCGATGATGAAGATTAAGCCACCCAAAAGGTGGCACGGGCATGAATAGCCCGTAAGTGGTGGCCCTTCTGAGCCATTACCAGTATCAAGAGCTGATC